CGTATGCATTCGTTGGTGGATTTCTGTCTGTGCCCTGACTGGGGATTGAACCCAAAACCTTGATGTATTGGAACGATGTTCTAACCAACTGAGCTACCTGGCCAGGGCTCATGCTGTACGTCTTTTGAATTATTTCACCAGTCACAAGTACTAAAAGAGTAAGGGGGAAATTTCCCTCACCCCAACGCTAAGAAGCTTCTAGAAGCATAAAACTATGGCAATCACGATGACCTGATTTGGGGGACAATTCTAGTTTCAAATAATTTTACTCACTGTACCCACATTGTTTTTTTCTTTTTCCTCTCTCTTTGCAGACAATCATTCTTTAAGATCGACTAATTTCTCTTCCAATACGTATTTTCCCCGTTAAGCCTTTCTGAGGGCCACCACCAGCTGGTCTAAGCGCCATCAGTTGTCCTTGAAGGAAGCACTTTCTGTCTTTGATCTCCCAGTGCTGCTCTCCTCCCCTTTCAGCTCCCCCGCCACCCCTCCTTCTTCCCCTCAACAGTGAAAGTAAATGTTTTAAATAAAAATCAAATCATTCAGTTCACCCCAGGGCTAAAACACCTCCCAGTGGCTTCCCCTTGCCTAAGCCTTTCACCTTGACCCTCTTTTTTGTTTTGTAAAGATGCCAAATTTGTTTCTGCCTTCGGGCCTTTGCACTGGCTCTCCGCTGAGCCTAGAACAATCTGCCCTAAGGTTTTTGCAGAGCCGGTTCTTTCTGGTCGTGCAGGTTTCGATTCAAACTGTTACTTTTTCAAAAAGGCTTTCTCTGACCTCTCAAGGTAGACTTTCTCTCCTTTCTCTCTCACTCTCTCTCTCTCTCTCTCTCTCTCTCTCTCTCTCTCTCTCTCTCTCTCTCAATTATTTAACTCAACACTTGTGACTATATATAATTTTTTAAAACACTTTTTCCTACCCTAGCCAGTTTGGCTCAGTGAATAGAGCGTTGGCCTGTAGACAGAAGGATCCCAGGTTCAATTCTGGTCAAGGGTATGTGCCTTGTATCTCAATTTGGTTACAGGCCCTCCGGGCCCCGCCCTGGTAGGGGGCGTGCAGGAGGCAACCAATCGATGTATTTCTCTCGCATTGATATTTCTCTCTGCCTTACCCTCTGTCTTTCACTCTCTAATAATCAATGGGGAAATATCTTTAGGTGAGGATTAAAAATGACAACAACAACAAAACACATTTTTCTTTCTTTTTAATTGATGTTATATACAGATGGTACAAAATTTAAAAGGTATAAGAATAAAAAGTATCCCTTACTTCCCTGTAACCCAGACACGGTTTCACTCCTGTCCAGATGCAACAACTATTTCCACTTTCTTATGTCTTTCTAGATATATCGTCTAAAATAACAAACACCAAGTACTCTTATTTTCGTCACATGAAGTAACATGTATAGACACACACACACATTTTCATTTTATTGTTTAAAAGTATTTATTACATATAGTAGTACATATATCTCCCTTTTTCCCCCAGTGACCTTCCCCCAGCCTCCCTTACCTCCTGTCGCATGCCCTCATCCCACCCCCCAGTGTCTTGTGTCCATTGGATGTGCTTATATGGCTGCATACAAGTCCTTCGGTTGATCTATTTCCCCCTCTTCCCAACACTCCCCAGCCTTCTCGCTGTAATTAGACAGTCATTCGATGATTTACATACATACCATTCTACATCTCGCTTTTCATACCAAGAATATGAATATTTTCCCATGTCAGTGCATTACAAATCTGCTCCATTCCTATTGCTGTTCAGTAGTCCATTGTAACTGAATGGATCTCTCTCAGTTAATGCAACCCATTCCCTATCAACATACATTTTGTTGTTTCCTTTTCTATTGAAAATAACCAACAATGTGCCACGAGTAGCTTTGTACTTATACCATTTTGCACTTGTGTAGATATACCTAGGAGAAAAGTTGGTGGTTAGAGGATTTGTGCAAGTTGCTGGTTTAAGGGTAATGTATAGCTGATAGTCTGAAGTGCTAAATTATCCTATATGGTGATCAAACCAATATGCTCTTACGTTAGTGAAAGTATCTTAGTGTTTGATACTTGTTTGTTGCCTGTCTCCCTTCTCTGACCATGAGAAGGACAGCGTCCTGATCATCATTCTGTATCCAGAGCCTCACACCTGATAAATGCAACACATATTTGGTAAACGAAGAACTTTCATTGTAGGTGTCCCCCAGTTTTTGTTCTAAGAATATAGTCAGTTCGCCTATGAGCCTGCAGCACACTGAACTGTTTGCTTTGTCTTTCTCCTCCTTAGACTGGGAACCATTTCTAATGTGTCTTTCTTTTTGTCAGCAATGGCTGACATACAGTAGGGCTCAGCAAGCCTGAGCTGAAGGAATGGATTGATGACTTTGAAGGCTGTGATTTGCATAGGGAAGTCAGGAGCAGAAGAAGCTCTTTGGGAAAGAGGTGGCCCTGGATTGAAGAGCTGGGAGAGGGAGAGGTCCCGTGATGATCTAGAGTTGCAGGCTGTGCTGAGAGAGAAAACCCACAGGAGAGGTCCTGGAGAGAGCGCACCCCATCTCCCATCAGGACCACAGGACAAAAGTCTCCACCCTCGCCCTCCCCCGGACCTTTGGATTGTTTTTCCCATCAGGCATGTAGGTTTGAGTTTTCAAGAACCTATGAAATGTTTGAGACTGCTAAGCTAATTTTTAAAGTTAGCTCCAAAATATAAAAATTAATATTTTATTAAGTGTATATAAAATATAACAATATGTCAACTATTAATAGCAACTCAACTATATATAGTTATTTATGTTTTATTTAATGTGGGATATTGCCACGTTATATTAATGTGTTTGATGTAATATAGAATGAGGTTTCTGAAATTGGAAACTTGAAAGTGTTTTAAAAAGAAAACACACACACACACAAAAAGCAGCCGGCTCAGTGGATAGAGCGTCGGCCTGCGGACTGAAGGGTCCCAGGTTCAATTCTGGTCAAGGGCACGTACTTTGGTTGCGGGCACATCCCCAGTGGGGGGGGTGCAGGAGGCAGCTGGTGGATGTTTCTCTCTCATCGACGTTTCTAACTCTCTATCCTCTCAATTCCTCTCTGGGTAAAATCAATAAAATATATATTTTTTAAAAAACTTATAGTGCCTGACCTGTGTGGCTCAGTGGTTGAGCATCATCAACCTATGAACCAGGGATCATGTTTTAATTCCCCATCAGGGCACATCCCCAGTGGGGGGCATGCAGAAGGCAGCCGATCAATGATCCTCTCCCCTCATTGATGTTTCTATCCCCCTCCCTCTCCCTTTTTTTAAAAAATGAAAATAAACCCTTTTAGTAATTTGGAGTTCTCTCAATGAGAGAATCCTGTATTATAAAAGGACTAGTCTAGCAGGTGCAAAGTAGCATTAGCACCTGATTGTTTCTGATCAGCTCCTGGAAGGGCTGAGGGGTTGTTTTGTTTATTTCAGCTTCCCAACCACCGCTCAACTCCAGGGGACACTCTACAAATACAATCTGAATGGTGCCTCCTGGAGTGGGCCTTGCCTGGCTTATGGTGGAGGTAAGGGCTCAGGAAATGTTTGCTTAATGTGTATGTGAATGCAATCCAATTTTACTTCCTGCTCATTTCACCTCCCAAGATAAAAAGAAAAAGCTGACTAGGGTTAGGGTGAAGAGAGCAGGAGAGGAGGAAAGTCAGTCATTAACACACACACACACTAATTAGGCAACTAAGAGGCTTCCTGCTTCATTGAGATGGGTGTGTGAGTGTGAGTGTGTGTGTTGGTGGCAGTGCAGGATGCGGGAATGCTAAGGCAAGTATCCTATTCCTAACGTCCTCCTCTTCATTTTCCTTGAAGCATCACACCGCTCCTGTGTTCAGTGTGCTCTGAATCATGCTGGCGACTTGACAATCCTGGACTTGCACCCGAAACCTTACGTTTAATTACATTGCTCATTCGTTTAAAAACAAACAACTCGCTCTTCACGCCTGCCTGGCGAAAACAGACTACTGCCTGGCATATCACCCCCCACGTGTCCTCACCCTCATCAGGGGTGTTTGAACGGAGACCAGAAGGAAAAGGAGTGAGAATAAGACGGGAACAGGCGAGACAAAGCCAGGAGGCTGCAGAGACATGGCCCTTGGAGGTAGGCCTGGGCTATGGGGGTGACAAAGACCAGTGCTCAGAGGCCATATCGTGCAGGGCTTGCGGGGGGGGGGGGGGGGGGGTCCTTTTTTATTTTTTTTATTTTTAGGGTGGTTTTTTTATTATTAAATTATTATCTGTGTGCATATCTTACCATTCCCCGCCCTCCCACTCATACCCTCCCTCCCCAGTGTCCATTGGTTGTACTTATATGCATGTATACAAGTCCTTTGGTTGGTCTATTATCTCCCCCAGATCTCCCTACCCTCCCCGCTGTAATTTGACAGTCTGCTTGTTGCTTTACTGTCTCTTGGGGGGTCCTTTTATCCCGAGGTAACAGGGAGCCAGGGAAGAATTTTACGAAGGAAAGTGAGAGTCAGATTTGAATTATTGGAAATGGGACGCGGGGTGGAGGGAGAGGAAGAGGAGGCGGGAGACTCGTTGAGAGGCTACAGAAGTGACAGATGGTCTTCAACCAGGGCTGGTGCTGGTGCCAGAGGAGATGGAGAGGAAGGTCGAGGATAAACGATAAATGATTTCGGAAGTGAAACCCAACCAGACTGGTGACAGAAAAACAGCCCGACCTCAAACAGAGACCCCAGGGAAGCGGTGAGATGGAGGCTGATAAAGGACCGCTTTCCTTTGCGCCTTAATCCACCTGGCGTCCCCCTTCCCTTAACCCAGTCGCCTCTTTATATGGAAATGACCATTTCAACAAGGGGCGGGGCAGACGCCCACGAAAATCCGGGTACTTTCTATTTAAACGAAGCAGACGTCAGCGGAGAAACGAAGACAATCCAAGCACTTCCGGTGACTCCCGGATGTGAAGGCTCCTAAGCTCCTCCGCCGGCGGAGGGCCAAGGCGAAGGATGGCCGGGCGGACCGCGCGGCTGGTGCTGCTGGCCGGAGTGGCCACGCTCGCCAGCGGCTCCCAGGGCGACCGCGAGCCGGTGTACCGCGATTGCGTGCTGCGGTGCGAGGAACGGAACTGCTCGGGGGACGCGCTGAACCACTTCCGCTCCCGCCAGCCAATCTACATGAGCCTAGCAGGTAAGCCCCGCCCCTAGAGCCCCGCCCCTCGCCTTGGCCCCGCCTCTCTCACCCCCGCAAATACCCCTCTGCAGTGTCTGGACCTTCGTTTCCTACCCTGGGCTCGTTGTGAGTGTGAGCGGAGCCCCAGGAGAAGGAGAGGCTCATCATTCAGTTTTATTTTTTCCAGAAACTCTCATTTACTTTATATTTATTCAGTCAAACGGGTACTTATTTAATCCTTCAGAGTACAGGACCCTGGAATGACACTGAAGTCAAACCAGGTCCTGCCCTTCCATGCTCACAGTCCCCATGGGGACCAGCTTCTCAAGTGTAAGGTGCAGGATGATTCTAGCCATAAAGGATCTTTAAAAATATATTTTATTGATCTTTTACAGAGAGGAAGGGAAAGGGCTAGAGAGTTAGAAACAATGATGAGAGAGAAACATCAATCATCTGCCTCCTGCACACTCCCCACTGTGTGTGTGCCCGCAACCAAGGTGCATGCCTTTGACCGGAATTGAACCTGAGACCTTTCAGTCCATAGGCCGTCGTTCTATCCACTGAGCCAAACCAGTCAGGGCCATAAAAGATCTTTAGATTAAGCAACAGGGGAGAAAAAATTAGGGGAGAAAAAATATAGGGGAGAAAAAATTCCTTTCTAGCATTGAGGGTTTGGGGTCACTGATCATCTTAGAACTTCTTGAGAAAGAAGGGCTTCCTGGGGGGGATACATTACATTTGGACCTGTGGCCATACTGGGCACCTTCTGTGTGGCAGGTGTCAAAATAGTCAGTCTTATTTTTACAACCCTTTGAAGTGGATTCTGATTTTACAGATAGGGAGCTCAGAGAGGTTAAGTGCCTGCCCAAAGTCACACAGCCAGTACGTGGTATGTAGTTTCCAGTTCTGGCCCGTTTAACGACAAGTTTGTTCTCTTTACTATCCCTCTCCAATCTAGACAGAGGAACCAGAGTGTGGAGACTCTGGGCAGATGAAGGCACATCCAGAGGTCTTAGTGTACTCAGGGAACAGGATGTATAAAAAGGAGTATTGGGCAATAAAGTTGGAAAGACAACTTGGGGCCTTAAAAGTGAGACTGAAGAATTTGGGCTTTGTCTTTATAGGAGACAAAGTGCTCCTCCCTGTGAGTGAGAACAAACCCTGAGTTCAGGAAAGGCCAGCACAAATCAGGAATCCATAGATGAGTTCGTCAGATGCCAAGATCCTCGTCTTGAGTGAAAGGAGAAGAGAATCCGAAACAGGTTTGGACAGAAGGGCCCCAGGTTCGATTCTGGTCAAGGGCATGTACCTTGGTTGCGGGCACATCCCCAACAGGGGGCGTGCAGGAGGCAACTCATCGATGTTTCTGACTCTCTATCCCTCTCCCTTCCACTTATGAAAAATCAATAAAATATATTTAAAAATAAAAAAAGAAAGAAGAGAAGAAACATCTCTGTTTGCTTCCTATACACCTCCACCCACTAGAGTACACACATGCCCCTTTCCTTATGTATATGTCCCATCTCCTATCCATCCAAGCGGGAACCTAGAATTTTGAGATTTCTTCTTGTTCTCTTTAACATGCAGACCCTGTTGGCCTGCATTCAGGTTTAGGCCCTGTTCAGGCCCTCTCTGTGCCTCCCGTACTGGGGGTTCACTGGGCCCATTTGTCTGTTTCAGGCTGGACCTGCCAGGACGACTGTAAGTATGAGTGTATGTGGGTTACCGTCCGCCTCTACCTCCAGGAAGGCCACAAAGTGCCTCAGTTCCATGGCAAGGTGAGTTGGACGGTCGGGGAGGGAGATGGTGGTGGTGTGGCGGGAGTAATATACTCCATCTCCCAGTTGGAGTACACCATCTAAAGGGTGGGGTGATCTGTATTTGTTACAGGTGCCTGTTCTCAGAATATGCTGGTTTTCATATGGGAATCAGGTGGGACCAATATGTCCTGCCTCTGGGTTTGGAATAAGATCTAGGGTCTCCTCAGAGAGTGGTGCTGGGCTTCCGAGAGTTGTTGGATGCCCACCTTGCTGCAAGGACACATCCCCCCGCTCAGCACAGCATCTTTTCCGTTGCTTCTTCAGTAGGAGCCTGGATTAAGATCGTAATACCCCTCAGATTGCCTAGGGAGGACCCTGAAATCAGACCAGGGTCCTGCCCTTTTGATATGCTAATGATATTTTTAAAATATATTTTTCTTGATTTCAGAGAGAAAAGGAGAAAGAGAGAGAGAAATATCAATGATGATGGGGGCGTCAATCGGGGAAAAGGAGACATATTTAACACTTTAGACAATAACAATTTTTTAAAAATATCAATGATGAGAGAGAAGCACAAATCAGCTGCCTCCTGCAAGCCCCCAACTTGGGGTCCAGCCCACAACCCAGGCATGTGATCTCCTTATAAGTTGATGCTCGACCACGGAGCTACCGGCCGGGCATGATCCAATAGTGATCTTGTTCCAGTCTGTAGTTGGCAAGAATTATTCTCCCCGGTTTGTCCCAGAGTAAGCTGTGGCTCAGAGGGCTGAGGTCAGAGGTAGAGGAGAGATGAGGGCCACTGTCCTCTGGATGGCAGGACTATTCTGTTTCTACCATGCCATACTGAGCCATCCAGTCTTCCCAGAGACCAGGCTTACAGTGCCGAGTGCTGGCCAGGAGAGAGGGGTGACCCTCAGCCAGGGAGGGAGTGACTGACTCAACAGGACAGAACCAGAGGCTTTGGCCAGGTCCTGAGCTAAGGGCCCAGCTGAGGAACTATTGGTGCAGCAAGCCAAAGATAGGTGGGAGAGAAACTATTGTAGTAATCTGAACAATAAAGATTTATTAAATTAAAACACACACACACACACACACACACACTCACTCACAAGATAGGTGGGGCCAGCCGGGGATTGCTTCTCCCTCAGCCCCCTCCCTGTGTTCCTCTTTCAGTGGCCCTTCTCCCGGTTCCTGTTCTTCCAAGAGCCAGCGTCTGCCGTGGCCTCTTTCCTGAATGGGCTGGCCAGCCTGGTGATGCTCTGTCGCTACCGCACTTTTGTGCCAGCCTCCTCTCCCATGTACCCCACCTGCATGGCCTTCGCCTGGGTAGGTACCCTGGCAGGATTCTCGCTTTACACCCTCGTCTAGGAAAGAGAAGCGCTGAGATCCCCACCCTCACCCTCCAGGGCTCCTACCCACCACGCTTCCCCCCTGTTTTCCAGGACGAGAGTTGCAGTTGAGGGGTGGTCAGGCCTGGGAAGACAAAGGGGGATGCTGAATGGGGCCTCGCCTTTCCAGCAGAGGCCCAGGCAGGGCTGTTTGGGGAGGAAGGAGAGAGGAGGGAAACCTCGTTCTTGCCTACAGGAGGAAGCCACTAGCAGCACCCATAGGGCTGTGGATAGACAGAAAAGGGAGATGGTGGAAGGAAGCCACAGGTCTTTCCAAGGGCCCGTCTGGAGAACGTGAAGCAATCTCATCCCTATCCCCGGCCGGAAGCAGGGCAGCCACAGCTCTCCCTCTAGCTCTCAGCCTGGTCTTAGACCATCCGGGAGGAAAGCCGAATACGTTCCAGCTGAGTATCCAGAGGAGGCTCTGAGCTCCACCGTGTGACTGGTCAGAGCTGCCTCTGTCAGCCTGAGGGAAACAGTCTCCACTCACTCACCTTCCTGACATAACAGCAGCCTACTGTGTGCCACTCACTTTGTCGGGTGCTGGAGATCCAAATGTGCCTACAAACAGATGTTCCCTGCCCTCTGGCACCAATCCCACAGGTGAATGTAGAAGTTCAGTGGGTGAGAGGTGTTGTAGGGGCATGTGATAGGGGACTAGATCCGAATGGGACAGCCAGGGAAGGCTTCCCCGAGGAAGGGGCAGGCAAGGAAAGATCAGAATGGTTAGTAAATGCCAACTAGGCGAATTCAGGGAAAAGAGGAGTCGTTGTCGATGGAGAAGACTCAGAATGTGCACAGGCAGGAGAGAGCTCAGGTTATGGGAGGACCTAAATGGCCAGGAGGCCGGCCATGCAGGGAGCCAGAAAATGGGGTGTGAGCCTGGGGAGCAGGTGGGCCGTGGACGGGGCCAGCCCATGAGGAGCCTGGGGGTACATTAGGCGCAACAGTCACCAACTGGTGGTCTGAGGACCCATGGTGGGTTGTGAGGTCTGAAAGGTTGGCAACCGCTGCCTTACGGCTGGCACTTCAGGTCTTGACTTGCAAAGCATCAGGAAGCAATGAGGATCAGAGAGAAGGCGTTTCATGAGTAGATGATTTGGAAAACTCATCTTGGCTGTTGTACAGAGAACAGAATGGAGGGGGCAGAAGTGAAGGCAGGAGGCTAGCGGGTTTTAATATATATTTTATTGATTTCAGAGAGGAAGGGAGAGGGAGAGAGAGAGAAACATAAATGGTGAGAGAGACTCATTGATTGGCTGCCTCCTGCAGGCCCCACACTGGTGATCGGGAAGCCACCTGGGCATGTGACTGGAATCGAACCGTGACCTCAGAGGGTCCTAGCGTGTCTTCGAGCCTTGTGGTCCTATCAGGAGTCCTGTCTGCATCTCCCTGGCTCTCAGGTCTTTCATTCCACTGTCATCTGCCATTCAGCTTCCTTCTTGCTGGGGTGTCACGCTTCCCAGGAGTATCTGGGGACCCTCAGGGACCAAGCAGGCCCTGTGAGGTTGGGAGAGGCAGACATTAGGGGCCTGCGTCTTGGTGCGCCCTACAGAACACTGTTCTAGGGCATGGAATCCCCTCAGGCCATCTGTAGGCCTGAGGGACGGAGTGTCAGCATCCACGCTCCCTTTAACAATCCAGTTTGGATTTTATACTTGATCTTTCGTCCTGTGTTTGCAGGAGGGAGGGATCCTGCCTGTGTGGAGGGTGTGGCAGTGGACTTCGGCCTGGGCTGGGTCCTCTGAGCAGTGGGGCTCCTGATTTCTGTTGGGGTGGGGTAAGAAGGCCCCTCACCTGCTCCAGGGTAGATGTTGGGGGGGGGGGATCTTAATCTTTTCCTTTGGGAAATGAGGAGGCCCTGCCCCCAGCAGGGCTAAGGAGGCACTGAGTTTAGGCCTGAGTTCTGCCGGGCTGCGGGCAGGCTGTGGGGGAGCCCCTGGAGCTATGCACACCACAGACCTGTGACTTGATGGCACTGGGAGCCCTGCCATCCCTGCCCTGCCCTGCCATCCCTGCCCTGCCATCCCGCAGGGAAAGGACCTCAGGGTAGCGGTGAGCGTGGGGTCCAGGAAAGCCCACCTGCAGGGTGGTGTGTGGAGGTGGGGCTGCCTGTGCTCTCCTCCTGCGGAGGAAATGCAAGAAGAGACGGGCTGAGGCTGCAGCAGGATGAGGGTTAGACTTCAGGAGGGACTTCCCAGCCATCAGACAAGAGCCCGCGGGAGCGGCAATGGCAGGAAATCAAACAACCCTTTCGGAAGGAGTAAAAAGCCCACCTCCTCCCCCTCCGCCTGCCTCTCCCCCGTCTCTCCCAGGAGTGAGCTGGGGCAGGCTTGCCCTGCGTGAGGCCGGGGGTGAGACTCCGTGGCCTCTGGGGGGAGGGGGGACAGGATGGCAGCAGGCGTCATAGTTAGCATTCTGCCTCCCCCACCTCTGAGACACCGAGCTATTTAAAGACCCACTTGTTCCCACCACCGTGGTGTCAGTGACAGCCCCGAGCACCGGGGCTTAGCACAGGGGTCGAATTCCTGGCAGATCTGGCTCGTTCGGCATCCAACCAGTGTCACGGTGGTGATATTTTTGTCTCAGTTTCCTTATTTTCCAAAAGACTGAAACAGTCTCCTGCTCTCCCTCTGCCCAGCCTTTCCCGTCCCGTCCCCCTCATTTCCACCCGCTCTGGCACCGGCCCCTGCCCTCCCCTGGCCTCCCCTCCCTCCATGTTTACAAGAAGCTCTTGGCGCCCGCTGGCCTGGCCGGCCCGTCCTCCTCCTGGTCCCTCCGATTGGCCAGTCACCCCTGGGCCTCCCCGTGCTGCCGGAGTGGGGCTCAGGAGGCCAGGGACAGCGGGACACTTGCATCTCCGGGGCTTTCCCTCCTTCTGCGTCCGGCCCCTCCGTCCACTTCCCTTGAGTCTTGGTTACCAGCTGAGGGAAGGGAAGGGAACTGGTGTCTCTTCAGTGCCTCCTGGCGAGAGAGAGGAGCTCAGGAGCCAGCAGGCCGGGGCTCCTCCCATCACTGAGGGGTCTGTGTCCTGGGATCAGAGACCCGTGGTTTGACCTGGGACATTGGGACCCTTAAGGAAGAGGAAGATGGGGTCAGGTAAAGGTAAGGTGACCAGATGTCCCGCTTTTGGCGGGACAGTCCCGATTTCCAACAATTTGTCCCGCGTCCCGTGGCGTTTTAAAAAAGTCCCGATTTAGCCTTGCTGGGCCTCAGTGTGCTCATCTGTAAAATGGGAATGATGATAGTGTTGACAAGGATTTAAGGAGTAATACATCGGGACATCTGGTCACCTTAGGTCAAGGGAAATGGTGGGGGTTCAGCTTGCTGGGCATGATGGAGGAAACTGACATTTATGTGGCACCTATTGTATACCGGGCGACAAGAAACACAGCCGTTTTCTGAGCGGCTCCTCTGTGCCCGGCGTTTCGCAGACATCCTCCTCAGGACCTCGGGCAGCGAGCGCTCTCTGACTAACCCTGTTTTGTAAGTGAGGCAGCTGAGGCACAGAGAAGTTGTTTGCTCTTCAGGGGCTAAGTCAGAACTTGGACCAAGGGCCCATCTCTCTGTAAAGGCTCCGACACCCTGCCCCCAGCCTGGCACTGAGGGACGGGCCTGGGCGGCTGTGCGGAGACGCCTCTTCTCCCCCTGGACTTGCCTGGCCTATAGGGAGAGGGGAGGCGGGCTGGGCCTCTCGGGTCTGCGGGGAGGTGGGAGGGCCTCGTGCTGGTCATGGAGGTGGGGAGAGACAACACCTCATGTCGGACCCTGTCTCGGGCACCGGGCTATTCCCTGCACCTGTATTACTCCTTAAATCCTTGTCAACACTATCATCATTCCCACTTTACAGATGAGCACACTGAGGCCCAGCAAGGCTAAATAACCCATCCAAAGGCACAGAGGGAATGCAGAGCTGGAATTTGAACCCTGGCTGTCGGGCCTTATGCCTTCATTCTTAATGACACTGTCTTTCCTGAAGAGGAACTCCCCAGAATGGGACACTCCAGTGGAGAGGGGACTTCTCAGGGGCACAGAGGCAGTTGAACAGGGGACCACCCCACCCCTGTGCCCTACAGCTCAGCCCTGGCCTTGTGCAATCCCCTTCCCCTCCCCTGCCCTCAGTGTTCCAACCGCCACTTAGCTCCATCTTTTGTCACCTCCCCCTTCCTGCCGGATTACAAGGAGGCCTGGCCGGCTTCCAGTCCCTTCTGCCTTCCCCCTCCGCCTCCCGCTCACGCTGGCTCCAGGGCCGTTCTCCCCAAGGATGTCCCCCTCCCAGGCCTGCCTGGGAGACCTGGCCCACGTGACCCCCTGGGTCCCCAGCCCTGAGCCTGCGCCTCTCCCCACGCTGACTCTGAGCATCACACTTTGTGGGAGCAGCGTCCCAGGAGCCACCCTGTTCTGTCCCACGTCCAGCCTCCAGATTGTGTCTCCGGGGAAGGGGCAGCCGAGGGCTGGGACGGGAAACAACCGGCCCTAGAACCACCACCTGCCGTCAGGGCTGGAGAGGGAGGGGAGCACACGCCGCCTCACTTGTCCCAGGTCTTGAGGAGCGTAGACAGCGAGATTCAGCCCGAAACCCAGGCCGGACAGGCTGCTACAGGAGCAAGGAGAGCCCTGCTGGCCCCTCGTCATTCTCAGAAGCCCCCTGGGGCCGGCATGAGGGACCATCCTCCTGTCCCCGCTTCCTGCTGCGGCGCCTGATGGAGTGGCTTCTCAGCTGCTCCCTCCGTCCCCTGCCCGGCCAGTTTTCCTGGTGTGCTGGCCCCCAGTGAGCCGCCCCTGCCCTTCCCCAGCTCTGCCAGGCTTGTCCCACCCTCGCGCATCCCTCCCTGCCCCCAGGCGGCTGCTGCTTCCTTTGACTGGTTGTCACTGATTTCCCAGCCCTTCCGCCAAGGACCTATGTGGGTCCCAGCCCACCCTTCTCTCAGTAATGGGGGCCCCTGCGTGGACATGGCGGTCCCTCAAAGAAGGGCCGGCACCGAGCACACGTGATCCGGGGCTCGTTTGCCAGATGATGAGGACTCTCTCCTGGCAGTTAGTTTCCAGGAAGAAGGCATCCCCTGCTCCCCGGGGCCCATGACCACCCCAGCCTCTCCAGCCCTGCTCCTGGCTTCTCCCAGACACAGGGCAGCTGCCACTGGGCCAGCGAGTTGGGCCGGCCGGGCCAGGGGGAAGCTGGGCCCCGCTGGCGGCTGGCAGAGCCGCCGCCTCCTCAGAGACTTGGCCCCAGTGGGATCTGCCCCATCTCCCTCCCTGGCTTGCCGCTCCAGACACACCCCAAGCTGGCTCGCGCCCCTCCACCCCACCCACTTCATTCCCGCCCCCAGAGGCTGAGGTCACCAGCTCCCCTGGCCCAGGTGGGGCTGCTTCCCTGCCAGTTGGGGAAGGAGGCGAGGCGCCCCCAGGGGCTGTTGTCTTAGGGTTGAGTAACCAGGGACTTGGACTTGGCCAGGACTGGTTCCCAGGCTGAGCCAGAAACCCGTGGAGGCTTCAAACCCCCACTCCCTTGGGGGTTCAGTGGGGGGATGGGGGGGGAAGCTGAGCCTGAGGGGGCTGGGCCAGGGGGGAGGGGAGGGGCACAGGTTTGTGTGGGGGGCTCCAGGAGCAAGCGGAAGTACATTTCTCTGCTCCGAAGAGCCCCTTCCCAAAAGTGAGACGGGCGTGAGCCCTCTGGGGGGTCTTTCCCACCTTGGGGTGCCACGCTCACCAGCCACCTCCCTCCTCAGGTCTCCCTCAATGCGTGGTTCTGGTCCACAGTCTTCCACACCAAGGACACGGACCTCACCGAGGTGAGCACCCTCCCTGCGCCCGGAGGGGTGGGGCGGAGCTGGCGCTCAGCGTTCCTGCTGACTCTGTGCTGGGCACCGCAAACCTGTTAGTGCACCTGAGCCTCTCTCAGCCCTGGAGGTGGTGTGATGGTTATTGGCTCTCCTTTTTAAAAAAATATATTTTTTATTGATTTCAGTGAGGAAGGGAGAGAGAGAGAGAGAGAGAGAGAGAGAGAGAGAGAGAGAGAGGGAGAAAAACATCAATGATGAGAGAGAGTCATTGATCAGCTGCCTCCTGCACGCGCCCCATTGGGGATCAAGCCCCCGGGCATGTGCCCTTGATCAGAATCAAACCCTGGACCTTCAGTCCCCGGGCCTACACTCTGTCCACTGAGCCAGATCTGCCAGGGCTTGGCTCTTCTTAGCTGATGAGGCAGCTGAGCCCTGGGAAGGCGAGATCATGTGGCCTGGGACGCCCAGCAGCGAAGGGGCGCAGAGCCCACAGCTGTGGGGCTCCGGCTGCCTGGCCCCAGGCACGCTTCGATGCTCAGGAGTGCCGCCGAAGCGTCCCTGCTTGAGCAGTGTGTTAAAGGTGTGTGATGTGCATGCACGGTTCAGTCTGTTACCTTCAGAAGTGAAGCAGCAGGAGACACCAGCCCCTCCGCCACCCCTCCTGGTCCCAGTCCCCCGTGGGCCCCCTCTGGGTCCCGCCCTCCAAGCAGCCCCGTCCACCTCCCACTCCCCTCCCGCGGGCCCCTCACCCTGTCTCCCTGTCCTCAGAAAATGGACTACTTCTGCGCCTCCACCGTCATCCTCCACTCCATCTACCTGTGCTGTGTCAGGTGAGCCCACGGCGGCTGCGGGCCTGGGTCGGGGGGTGGGGAGGCTGCCCAGCTGGCCTGTGGGTGGGGGAGAGGGGCAGTGGCTTCCATGTGCTGATGTTGGGGTGAGCGATGCCCCCGGGAACGCCCCTGAACAGCTCTGGATGGCGGGCAGGACCGTGGGGCTGCAGCGCCCAACGGTGGCCAGCGCCTTCCGGGCCCTCCTGCTGCTGCTGCTGACGGCGCACATCTCCTACCTGAGCCTCGTCCGCTTCGACTACGGCTACAACCTGGCGGCCAACGTGGCGATCGGTGAGCGGGGACCGGGGCGGAGTGGGGGGACAGCTAGGGAACTGCTGGCCTGGGGGTGGGGGTGGTGCTATTCCTAGGAAGGGGTCCTAAGAGAGCCGTGGGTGGGGAAGGGAGAAGATTTGGGGTAGAAGAAAGGGGAGACTGGGGGAGAGTCAGAGGCGATCCTGGGGTCCAAGGGCACAGAGACAGGGGAGGCCTTGGTGGTGGTGGTGGTGGTGGGGAGGTCCAGGGAGTGAGCCCCTGCCTCCCCCCGCCCCCAGGCCTGGTGAACTTGGTGTGGTGGCTGGCCTGGTGCCTGTGGAACCGGCAGCAGCTGCCTCACGTGCGCAAGTGCATGGCGGTGGTCCTGCTGCTGCAGGGGCTGTCGCTGCTCGAGCTGCTGGACTTCCCGCCCCTCTTCTGGGTCCTGGATGCCCACGCCATCTGGCACATCAGCACCATCCCCGTCCACGTGCTCTTTTTCAGGTGAGTACTCGCTGCCTGGGCCTCGCTGCCCAGGGCTCGCCTTCCTCGTGCCCTTCCTGGCTGCTTGGCCCCCTGCAGGCTTGCCTGCGCTCATCCCGCCCCGCCACCAGGGGGCGCCCTCGGGGCTGGGCTTCAGCGGCTCCTTCCTCTGCTCACAGCTTCCTGGAAGAGGACAGCCTGTACCTGCTGAAGGGATCGAAGCTGGACTGAAGGCCTGGGATCCAGTCTGCCCTCATGGAGACTCTGCCCGCCCCCTGCTGGCTCCTCTTCTCCCCAGCTCTTGGGATGATTTATCTTTTGAACTTAGACGTGAAGGGTGTGGGCCCAGAATCATGTCATAGGCCCATCACCCATCTTGCTCGCCCCACATGGCCCTCACAGGCATGAGTGTGTTGGGGCCTGGCCTCTGAGCCTCTGGGGCTAGAGGATGGGCAGCCCCTCTGGTTCCTGAACTGAACTGTGTTCTTAGCTCCACCCAGAGGAAAGCTGCCTCTGCTTTCCCGTCAGCCACCTCCTCACATCCCCTCCCCGCCTGGTGGTTGCCAGAGACTAACTCTGTCCAGCTAGGAGACAGGGTACCACCAGGCCTTGGATGCATGGGATTTCCTCCTGTTGCCCCGTGCCGTCCTCCGGGGACCGCTAGGTGGCGCTAGACGCTTGCTCTTTGGCTGCCCATGTTTCCAGGCCAATGCATTCCACCCCGTGGGGTCTTGAGAGGCCAAAGCAGTTGGGACTGGTGGGCACAGGCCTGGGTGTGCGGGATGCTGGGTGGGGCAGTGTGTGTAAACCGGGCCTGGTGCAGTGTGGAGAATGGAGGCGTGTGTGTGCGGGGGGGGGGGGGGGGGGGGGCTGTGTGTGAGTGGTTTTAAAGTGTGTGTATGTGTTGTAAGCCCTGATGGGGCTTAAAGCTCATTTGGTGAAAGCGTCGTCCCCATGTGCCAAGGTTGTGGGTTCAGTCCCCGATCAAGAAAAAAACCGAATGAATGTATAAATAAACGGAACAGCAAATCGACGTTTCTCTCTGTTCCTCTCTAAAATCAATAACAATTTAAAAATAAATGTGTGTGCTGGGGAGCAGGCAGTGAGTGTGGGTTAGGGGAACATACATGGCCTGAGTGTGAGTGCAGGGGCGTGTGCCACAGTGAGGGAGGTTGGCAGGATGAGGGGTTCAGTCGCCGTCAGTAACCGTTTATTGAGCAGCACCTCTGCACAAAGCCCGAGACCTGGCGGGGTGTGTGTGTGTGTGTGTGTGTGTGTGTGTGTCCCGGCTGCTTGTGTTGGTGGATGTATTTGTCTGCAAACCACAAAGGGGCCCCACACAACTCAAGATCACCCTCCAAAACCAGAACCAGCCCTTTGGGAGGCAGAGGGAGGAGGGAAATGGGGGATCCCCTGAGCCCCTCAGCGCCCCCCGCCCCCCCGTGCCTGGCCTGCTGAGTTTTTTGCCAGAGCCCGGACCCTCAGCAGGGGGAGAGGCTGGCTGAGGCCACACCCTGCCTGCACCCTGACAAAGGTGAACCCCGCTAGTTGCTGGCAGTCCCCATCCATTCCTGCTCCACAAGGATAGACTGTGCAGCTCCAGAAACTTCCATCCAGAGGCAGGCTCTGTGATTGGAGCAGGAGCAGGACTCCGGGTCCTGTGTGTTTCCCCGCACTCACCTAGGGATTCCTGCTCTTTCCCTGCTGCTGTGTCCCTCCAGGGGGTGGGGGCACTGTGCTAGGTCTCCAACTGCAGGGGTCTGGGGGCCCAAGGTAATTTATTTTGATCCTGAGAGGTATTTTAAGGTCGGAGGGCAGCAGGGACTTTAATACACCATTTTCAGCCTCAGCTGCCCTAACTCAGCTCAGGTGTGAGAGGAGGATGGGCTGGAGAGGAGGGGGAAACACTGCCGGCTGGAGGCAGCGGACAGGTGAGTCTCTGCCTAGGTCTGTGCGGGTGGGGTGGCAGGGACCAGACAGGGAGCAACAGCAGAGTCCACAGAGCCCAGTCCCGCTGGGGGGGAGCTGGCGGAGGGAGCTGGTGCTTCTCCTTCCTCTCACTTTCCTGGGTCTTGTTTGTGCCTGGACTGTACCCCTGCCCCTTGCAAGTTCCACTTCAGTCTCCTAATTCCTCTTCCCTCCTCCCCTCTGGTCTGAGCCGTTATGAGTGTCACCTGCACACAGGATAACAGGTGAGAACCAATGGACTAGTACAGTGGTCGGCAAACACATTAGTCAACAGAGCGGCAAACAGAGGCTCATGAGCCACATGTAGCTCTTGAGCCGCGGTTTGCCGACCCCTGGACTAGTAGGTGCCTGGCACACAGCAGATGCTGGCTGAGGTCCCTCTGACCTGAGCCTTCCTCAGTTTGGGGAAGATGCATGATACAGAAATCTGAGTTCATGGAAGCTTCTGGGAAACGAAGGCTGGGGTGGTGCCTCCCTTTCCCTCCTCCTCCCCCCTACCCCCCCCCCCCCCCCCCCCCCGCAACACCAGAGAGAGCTCTGGGCCCTGCAGCCTCCCAGGAGAGCCACAGACAGCAGGGACACGCAGTAGGACAGACATTTCTTTATTGGGTGCCGCCTCAGGCAATAGGGAATCTGATGGCTGAGGGCTGCGGCACTGGGTGCCGGGGGCCTCACTCGCCCGCCTTCTGGGCCCAGGCAAAGAAGATGCCCTTGACATCGTCCACGTCCGTGCGGAGGTGGGCGGGCATGGTGTAGGTGCGGAGGTCGCGCACCTGGTAGCCGCCACGCACCAGGGCCTCCCTCACGTCCTCCTCCCTCAGGGGCACCACCGCCAGCCTGGCCTCCCCGGCCAGGTACCAGGACTCCTCCAGGGCCCCGATGAGCAGGAGGTGCCCCCCGGGCCTCAGCAGCGAGGTGACGTGGCCCAGGGCCCGCTGGAAGCTGGCCAGGTCCGGGCTCACGGCCTCCAGGCAGAAGGTGGAGACCAGGGCGTCGGCGGGCAGGGGCGCCCCGCTCCCCGCGCCCAGGGGCTGGGGCTGGTGCACATCCACCGGGAGGATGCGCTTCACCCTCGCTCGCAGCTGGCGCTCCTTCTCCTGCCACGACTCCCTGCGGGGACAGGAGATCTGTCCTCAGGGCCCCGGCGCCCCAGGCTCCGTCCTCTGCTGCCTTCCCAGCAAGCACACTCCATGGGCGGCCCCTGTACGATCCTCCTGCCCTGAGCCTGACCCCTGACCCTTGACCCCTGACCCTTACCCCTTGTCCTCAATGAGGCAGACGTGCTGGCTGTACACGCTCCAGTCGAAGGCCCCTGGCTCTTCCCGCAGCCAGAGCCCCAGCTCCCGGCGGTTCACCTCCAGGAAGTCGGTCATGGTGATGTCCTCGAAGTGGGCGCAGGCGCTGAGCAGCTGGTATATGGTGGGGCCCGAACCGATGTCGATGAGGGTGCGCCCGGACACCTCACCTGGAGGGGGCAGAGGAAGAGGGTCCTGGCGCCCGCCTGGCACCGCTTCTCCCTCCTCCCTCCCTCCACTCCCCCTCTCCCTCCCTCTCTCGCTTCTCCCTGTTTCTCTGTATCTGCAAAGGCCTCCCCAGAGTCCCGACAACACACCCTGAGGAAGGAGCTTCCCTGTAAGTGCACCTGCCCTCCAGGGTGCTAAGCGGGGGAAGCCCGGGGTGCTGGCCGCTTCTCCCCGAGGTCTCTGTCTCTCCCTGATGTCTCTGTCTCCCCCCAATCTCTGTTTCTGTTTCTTTCTGTCTCAGTCTCTGTCCCTCCCGGTCCCTGCCCCTCACCGGCCACCTCACCTCTCACCTCTGAGCATCCTCCCTTCCCCTCCCCACCCCTGTGCGCGGGTCTCTCTCCCGTCGCTCCCCTTCCTCTTGTTTCCACCTCCCCGCTCCCCGCTCGCTCGCCGGTCCCGCTGCCTCCGGTCCCCTGCGGCCCCGCGCTCACCGGTGGCGAAGGTCCTTGCCAGGCAGCCCAGCTTCCAGGGCCCCACGCCGTCCGGGCGGCTCAGGTCGCCCCGCGGGGGCGCGTAGTTGTTGCGGAGGTAGGCGCGGGGCTCGAAGTGCTGGTAGGCCGAGGCCACCTCCGCCAGGCCCGGGTGCGAGGCCCCGGCTGCGCCCGCCGCGGGGCCGGGGTCTGCCATGCTCCGCCGCCTCCGAGGCCCCTGCGCCCTGCTGGCCGCGCAGCCCCTTTATCTGCGGCCGGACCCCCGCCCCATCCCGGCGTTCGGGGCGGGGCGGGCAGGCGGAGCGCAAACCGCCCGGGGCCGTGCGCCCGCGCGCCCCCCCCCCCATTCCCCCCATCCGTCTCCCTTAGCGTCCCGGCCCCCGCCCCATCCCCCCCATCCGTCTCCCTTAGCGTCCCCGCCGCAGACAGGGGGCGGGGGGGCCGGCCTCCCGGGGACATCTGTCTCCCCGCCCGCGCCTCCCCGCCCTCCACGCTGTGCCCACCTGGCCCGCCCCGGGGCCCGCAGCTCCGTTTCCCACCGCGCAGCCCTGCGACCCCGGCCCTGTAGCCCCCCGCAGCCCTCACGGCCCTGCACCCCCTTTTCCCGGCCCGCCGCCCCCTCTCTTCTGCATCGGCCTCCTCTCCAGGCCCCTCTCCATCCAGGGCCCAGCCCCCCGCCAGGCTCCCCTTCCCCGGGACGCCCCGTCCAACAGCCACCCTTTCCGTAGCAAGGGCACCCCCACTCCCCGCTGCAGGCCTCTCCTCCGTACATGCCGCCCCCTCCCCGGCCCCCTGCCCCCTGCCCCCTGGCGCCCCTCCCCACCCCCCGCCGCGGACAGCACAGTCCGTCCCGGCCTCCGCCCTGCCGCCCCGGGCCGATGGGGCCGCGCTAATGCACTTAGCGGGCAGCGGCGCCCCTCCCGGACGGCCTGCGGGCGCCGAGCCACTCATGGGGCCGCGAGGGCGGAAGGCTCGGGACGTTCCGGTCCCGTCGGGGCGCGGGCCAGGTGAGGGCGGGAGAGCAGGGGAGGGGGTGGAAGGGTGGGGAGGGGGGCGCGGCGCAGCCTCTGGGCCCAGGCACCTGGGGTCCCGCTGGTTGGGGTTGCGGACCCCTCTCCCTCCCCAGCCCCGACAGCGCCCTCTGGGGGAGGGGGCAGGCCAGGCGGCCCGGATGCCAGGCGGGGGATGCCAGGCTTCCTCTTAACCTCCCAGCAGGAAGGGGATGCTGCAGGCGGGCTTGGGGGTGTCCTGGAGTGGGACCCTGTGGGTCACCCAGCGTCCCTGCCCTGGGCAGGCTACCATGCCCTGGTCTGCTCCTGGCACCCCCGGCAGCCAGGTTGGAACACGAGTCGCCACCACAGCTGCAGGGGGCACAGACAGGAGTCAACGCCCACCCCACCCCCAGCAACCTACCCTGGGCTGCCAGAGGCAGGGGAGCGCCTGATCCCAGCCGAGGATTGCCTGTCTGCATTCAGAGCCGAGGCAGGTCAGCCTCGGGGTCACTGGCCACGTCCACACACGGAGACACAGCCAAGGACAGTCGCAGTGCCAGTTTTCCAGGAGATCAAGCAAACCCTGCAGGCCAGCTGGCCTCCTGGGCACTGCCCTGTGCCAGGGGACGGGACACGGAGGCCGGACGGCACAGGGGAGTCAGCGTACCCAAGGGGGACTGGACAGACAGCCCCCTGTTTACAGCTCTACCCGCCCCCCCCAACATCAGTGTACCCACTAGCTCTGCCATATTTAGCTCAGATGCAGGGCCTGTTCCCAGCAGTGAGCATGGGGGGGGGGTGACCCCAATGGGTGCCCCCCCAACCACAAGGAGAGACATGAAACTAGCACACGACTGGGCATTTATTGCAGCGCTAACAGAGGGTGCTGGGGGCTCACCTGCCTCTGCCCTCGTCACCTCCTCCTCCCTCTGCTCTTCTCCAAGCCTTCCCCAGAGCACTCCCCACCTCCTTCCCCTCCCCCTCGGCCTTCTCCGGAGCTGGGTCACCCCTCTCAGGCACCCATTTCCCTCCTCCTGGGCTGGGGCTGCTCAGCTGAGCTGGCCCTAGCTCCCCACCCTTCGTGCCCACCGTCTTTGCTCCCCTCCCTTTGGGAACGCAGGGGAACCAGGCATCCTGGCCTCCGGCCCCCTCCTCTCCTAGCCCCCAACTCCGGGCAAACTACAAAGCATCCAAGGCCAGCGGCTCCCCTCCGTGGTCCTAGCCAGGGAGGGCCCAGCCCAGCGAAGCGGGGACAGGGCAGCTCTCAGCCTCTCTGGGCGTCCTGGGACATGGAGCGGGACAGAGAGCGGCGCAGGGGGCCCGGCTTGCTGACGGGCACCACGGGGGGCAGCTGCTTGGTGATCTCCGCCACATCCTGCCGCTCCGCGCACTGGCCGCTCAGGGCGGTCTCCAGGGCCAGCAGCTCGCGCAGCTGGACGGGCGTGTCCTCCCGCTCCTCCTTGGCGGCGCCCACCTTGGTGGGGGTGAAGATGGGCAGCGGCAGCACGCGCTGGTACGGCAGCAGGTACTCCTGCAGCCCCTGGCCAAGGACGCCCATGCGCATCACCAGCCAGGGGGACCGCTGCACCAGCGCCTGGCACTGGCCCTGCCGGTGGTAGGTCTCGTGCTGCTGGGCATCCTCCTCATGCAGGGAGCACCTGGGGGCGGGAGAGGGAGGGGACACTGAGCTCCTGCGCATTGCCATCCGCTTAAGGGCCGGGCAGGGGACCCGGTGGGTGCAGGAGGGGTGGCCCCACCCGGAGAAACTTGGTGCTCGGGCTCAGGAGGGGTGCTGCTGGGGAGGGGAGAAGGGACCCCAGCTGGCCGCACTCACCCTTCCTCGGGCCGCGTGGACAGGCTCAGGTCCTTCCATTCGGCCCAGAAGGCCTCTCGGCGCTCGCAGTCCTGCTCCGACACCTGGCAGCTCAGCTCAGTCATGGCCATGGTCAGCCTCGCTCCCCCTGCTCCTTCCCCGCCTTTAAATAGCCCCTCCCCCCTCCTCCTGGGCTATTTTCGGCCACTCTGGTGTCAGATGCCACAAGAGCCAAGACTCCGATAGGGGAACATCGGGCTCAGGATGGGGGTGGGGTGCCTGGACTGTTGGCTGCCCCCAGGTCAGAGGTCAGCGTCCGAAGAGATCAAGGTGCTCCGGGAGGGGCAGGGGTCTTCCGTGCAACGCCCCCAGGTGCCTGGCATGCCCTGGACACTGTCTGAGGCCAGGCACATGCCCAGCCGCGTGCCACCTTGGCACCTGCTCTCGGCCCCACCCTTCCCCTTCAGCCAGGGAGGACGGAGGCTTGTCTGTAAACAGAGCAGGCAGAGGCCCCTCTGGGCTCTGTACCAGGCGGCCAGGTCCCCGGCCCGTTGCTCTCCTCTGCCTGGGTTCGAGGGCACATCCCCGAGTATGCACGCCGGTGGCAGGGATCCTGGCGGCTCACTCCCCACCTGGAGCTGGGCAGGAACCAGTTCCTCCCCCACGGCCAGTGGTCAGAGAAGGGGTCGCCCAAATCCAGCGTCAGGGTAGAGCTAGGTGTGGGCGTGGCCCCCAGCTCTACTCCCAACACCCCAATTGGGGTAAAACAGCGTGAGGGGGCAATCCAGGGGCTCCGATGAGGGGCAGTCAGCAGACCTGGCTCTAGCCCCAATCAAGCCACTCACAGATGTGACACTGGGGCAGTCCCTGCCCCTTTCTGAGCTACATCCCACCCCCCCCTTCTGGTCACAACAGCCTGACCAGAGCTCTGGGGCCTGCCAGCTCCAATGTGTCACTTGGGCAGGGCCTGGGCCTGGTCACGGGGACAGGATGGCAGGATGGCTGCTGGGCTGTAAGCTGGCACACAAGGTGGTGGGCAGGGGGGAGGGGGGAGGAGGAACAGGGAGAGGCAGTGACAGGAGCTGAGGGCCTGTGGGGACAGCTGGCACCACCTGGGGCAGGATGGCATACTCCTGTGACTGAGGCGGCACTATACCTGAGCATGGCTTCTTTAATCTCATAATAGCCCTATGATGTAATGATAGTGAGGCTTGTGTTTACAAAGCAGGAAACGGAGGCTCTGATGCAGACCTGGCCCGGATCAGACACAGCCAGGTCCCGGATGGGCCTCGGGCTCTATGCAAGGTGGCTCCTTAGGGAGCCTGCGGGCAGGGAGCGGGGAGGGCAGCACCCTGGCTCTCGCCTGGGCTCTGACTCTTGTGTGGCCGGGCACAGGGAGTACATACGAATGGAGCAGAGATCCCAGCAGCGCCTTGGTGACCAGGAAGCCCAAACCCCCCTCCAGGACCAGAAACAGCCAGGGCCTGCTGGGCCTCTCCCACCTCCTCCCAAATCCTGGACCGGAGACCTTAACCTGACCTTCCTCACAGGAAGCCTGGCAGGGGTGGGCGGGGCATTTTTCTCTGCCCTGTCATCTGCCCAGTTGAGCCATTCAGGAAAGTGTGTGTGTGTGCTGGGGAGGAGGAGTCCAGAAACAATCCCACTGACACCCGGGGGTGAGCGATGTGCCATGGATCTGGCCACCGTGGTGGCTCGCTCCTTTCCTCCCTCAAGTAGCCAGCCAGAGGGCTTGCTTTTTTTCCTTTTGAGTTCATAGTTTTAGTTTTTGTTGTAAATATATATATTTTTATTGATTTCAGAGAGGAAGGGAGAAGGAGAGATTGATGAGAGGGAATCACTGATTGGATGCCTCAAGCACGGCCCACACTGGGGATCGAGCTCACAGCCCGGGCCTGTGCCCTGACGGGAATCGAACCGTGACCTCCTGGTTCATAGGTTGACACTCAACCGGCCTGGTGAGTTCATATTTTTAATTGGCTCAAAATACAAAGGTCCCCAAGGAGGCCCTGGACGGAGGGAGAGACCCTGGGAGAGGCAGGGGTTCACTGACAGCACCCACCATCCCCACCTGCCACCCGCTCCCCCACAAGTACATGTGGAAAAAGGTCCCAGACCCTTTAAATGATTCCCAAAGCGTGTTGGGAGCAGGCAGGTGAGGGGGCTCCTGCACCTGAACCCGGTGACAAGGTCGCTCCGGCTCCATCCTGCCCAGGGCCCTGGCCCTCACCCACCAAGTCCGAGGCTCCCACTCCAGACCCTGCCCCGGGCTGGGCAGGGCACCATGTAAACATCAGCAGGACAGACTCCACCTGCCCCGTGGCAGAGCCCGGAGTCTGGATGATGCTGACCCCACAGCCTGCTCACGGCCGTGGCTCAGGCACGGCGGAGCATGGCCGCTCGGAGTCAGGGGAATGCCACGGAGGGCTCTGCTTGGTCCTCCTGAGGCCAGGTCCTCTGTGGGCAGCCCGCTGGCCCCCTCTGGCTCCGGAGCTGTGGCGACCGAACCCTGGCCCGCAGGGTGGCAAGGGGGCACAGCTATGCCCGGGCCCCCAGCTCTCCGACGCGCTGCCGCAGGTGGAAGGCAAATTCAAACATGGTGGCTGCGAGGCTCTGGTGGATGAGGTACCGGGGCAGGCGGCCCTGGGGAGGGAAGGAGAGGGGAGGGAAGATGGGGATTAGCTCTCGGCAGGGCTCCTCCCTCAACTAGGGCACCAGCAGGGAGTGCTCTGGGCCAGAATGCAGGTGCAGCTCTGGAATGCACCGAGGCCACCCTCGCCCCCTCACCCTTGGCAGGAAGAACATCCTGTGCCCAGGTCCTGGCACCAGCCAGCCAAACAAACCTGGGAGGGGCCAGGCTGGCAGCCAGCCACCCCTCCTCAGGGCCTCAGGAGCCAGAGGTAAGAAACGAGAGGCACAGGCCCTCTGGCTATGAGGGCAGGGAGCCCCAAGATCACAGCAGAGCCTCCACTGCACGGGGCCTGCCTGCAGCCCCGGCCCCTCACCTTGAGATCTGTGTTGAGGATCCAGATGAAGGTGCAGACGCGGGGGTTGCTAGCCGACTTGAGCACGATGAAGCCCCCAGGACCATTCTCGCCCCTGAGGAGAGAGGCACCACTGGGGACTCCGGAGCCAGGCGAGGCCCCTGACTCGCCCCCTCCATTCCTGGCCCACCTTGGACGTGGGCGGAAGAGGGAAGGGATCTGCTGGTCCTGTGATGCTCAAACACTCCCACGGCAGCTGCCAGGCCTGCACCCCCCACCCGCCCAGCCCCCACCACGTCCAGTCATCCTAGGTCAGCTCTAGCTGTGAGGGTGGCGGGCCCGCTCCTCTCACCCCTGCCCAGTTCAGGGAACAGAGGGGTGCTGGTGGCTTCCAGGAGTGGGCGCCCTCTCAGGGGCTGTATTCACACACACACACACACACACACACACCCCGTTTAATCTGCCCACAGCTCCATGGAGCACCCTAAGCCCACTCCCCGGATAAGGAGGCTGGCACCCCGAGAGGAAACCAGCTTGCCCGTCACCCACAAGTCCGGGTTGTGCTGAGCCCAGAGCCCAGTGTGATACCAAACAAGAGTGCTCTCTGCGAGCTCAGGGAGGGGAAGCGGTGACTGGGCGGGGGCCGCCCATGGCTCTGGAGTCCAGGATTAGACAGACGGGGAGCCGCGGGGAGCCTGGAACAGGCCGCGGGCACCGCTCACCTCTTCCTCTGGCAGACCTCAGCTCAGGAGAAAGGCCAGGGATCGGGCGGAGAGGACGGGGGAGGGGACTCGGATCTCCTGCTCGGGGCGTCCGGGGCGGCCCTATCCCCGTCTGCCCCGGAGCTGCCCGGAGCGGGTGGCGGGGGTGCAGACGTGACGCCCCCAGACCCCAGCACACGGAGCAGTGGATGAGCAGGATCAGGGCTGGGAAGGACAGAGCCCAGAGGGACGGGGACAGGAAGGCGACCTCAGCAGGAGTCCCCGCTGTCCTCACTGTCCCCGCCTGTCCTCACCGCCGCCCGGGAGGGGCTGCCCGGGAGGCCCCGGGGCCAGGCCGGCTCACCTGACGTATTTGTGGGTGGGGGGCTTGGCGCAGTGGGTGGTGGCGATGCCGGAAGACAGGTATCTGTCTCTGCGCCGCTCTATGCGTCGGACATTCACAAAGTCCCTGGAGGAGGGGGGGAGGGGAGGGTCAGGTCAGGGGGTGCCAAGCCCAAGACGCAGGGGCAGGAGGCCTGCCTGAGAGGAGGGGGGGGGGTGGCCACTCACCGCGGGGAGACCACTCCGCCCGCGGCCCCCGCAGACACGTCGTAGGAAACGAGGGTGTTGTCCTCCACTCGATGCAGGATCTGCGGTGTGAGGGGGACGTGAGGTGCAGCCCAGCCCAGGAGACCCAGCCCCGCCTCCACCCCTCCATGCTCAGGTCCTTCACCAACAGCCACTGCCGTTCCTGGGCCTGGACCAGGCGCCCACTTTCCCAACCCTCCCCGTTAGCACTGCTGCCCTCACCCCCACGTCACAGCTGGGGAACCTGAGGCACAGAGCAGTCCCCTGGCACGGCCTGGGGCGCCTGGGGCAGCTGGCCACGCCAGGGCATCGCCCTGACCCCCGTGTCCTCGGCCCCGGCCGCCCACCTGGCAGGCGGTCACCGTCTTGTTCCACAGCACCATCCGCTCGGGCTGCAGGATCACCTCCTGGTACACCAGCTCCGCGGGGCAGGGCAGGAAGGTCTAGGCAGGGCAGGCAGAGGGCAGGGTGGTGCCAGCTGGGCTCGGGCACCCCAGCCCTTCCCTCTTGGTGGCGAGACACCTGCCAGCGGGCCCCTCCAACCCAACCTGGACCCAGCGGCTCCGGGACCCGCCAGGACACCCGATTCCCTCCCTCACCTTCAGGATGAACGTCTTGCCGTGAAAGGGAACCTCGATGGTGTACACGGTGTCCCCGTATTCCTGTGGGAGGGACAGAAGGGGCCGGGAGGCGGGGGGCCGGGAGGGCAGGGGGGATGGGCTGGTGGCTCAGGAAGGGGAGACGGGTGTTTGAGGTTTCTAACAGCTCAGGGCAGAAAAGTCCCGGAGTCTGGGGAAACTCGAGCAGCCAGCAGCCGTTATAGTAATAAAAACAGTGGTTCTGACAAACGTCCAGCGACAGGGAGGGAAAAGCTTTGGTATCAAGTTAAAAGGCAGGAGCACAGCTGTGGTCGTGACCATGAAGAACCGAGTCTCCAGGCCCCTAAGGGCTGCCAGAGGCACTGGCCAGAGGCACCAGCCAGCGACAGGGACGGGCACATTTTCCCTGATTCCGAGCTCTCCGCCATCTTTTCAGGTTTTCTTGATCATTAAACACAAGCCTGGCTTCCCCTTCAAAGCCGAGCCCAGAGAGCAGGGCAGCAGGGAGAGGAGGACGAGGTGAGGAGGTTAGTGGGGGGTATTAGGGGGGCGCGCACGCAGTGGCCATGGAAACATCCATTCCAGCCTGACCGCCTGCCAAGAGGCCGCCCCCAGCCCAGCCCCCTCTCCCTCTCCTGGGCAGGGACAGGGCTCCACCAAGTAATCCCGGGGCTTCCTCTCAGGCTCAGAAAAGAGAGGGAAACTCCCCACACGTGGGCAGGGCAGCGGGGGGAGAGGCTCCTTACATTATTCTTCTCGAACTTCCAGTTCTCCTCCTGGGCCAAGATCTGGTCCACCACGGCCATGGCCTCCCGCCCCTGGTGAATGTACTCCCTCTCCTGGGCGGGGAGGGGAGGCGGGGGGGTCAGCCGGGGGCCTGGACCCACTTTGCTGGTGGCTGGTTCTTTCCCTGGACACTCACACCCGTCTCCCGGGAGCCTGACCAGCCGGACACAGGGGTGTGCGCCTGTCTCCAAGGCCCTGAGGGGATCTGGGGCAGGAGCTGAGACTATGCTGTTCCTCACGCCCTCCCCGACACACACACACACACACACACACACACACACACACACACACACACACGAGGCAGACCAGTGGGCCTGACAGCAATGGGGCTGACACTCACATGGGCGCGGACTGGCATTCAAGCTGCTGAGGCCCACCCTCTGCTGGGAAGCCCTGCCACCCTGGCTGAGCCCGGACTGGCCCTTCTCTGTGGTGCCATCCAAAGGGAGGGGGGTGGGCAGCCAAGCACCTGGGCAGAGAAGCTCTTCTTCCCGGCAGCCTCGTCGTCTGATTCGCTGTCAGACCCTGCGGAGAACAGCACAGATGACATGGGAGGTGGGGGGAGAGTGCAGGAGGGGGCGGTTCAGGTGCAAATGCAGGATGGGGGGGGGGGACTGTGTGGGAGAGGGAGCTGGCTTTCCCAGGGAGGCCATACAAGGAACAGACGAGCAGCCCCAGCCTACCCCCCTCCACGGCGCCCCTCCCTGAAGGCGGGTCCCCACCCACCGGCCCTCACCTGCAAAGGATTCTGGGGGCGAATAGAACTGGCCCTCGGAAAGAGCTCCGGAGAAGAGCAGGGGTCCTCGGGCGACAGCGGCCTGGGCAGCAAGGTACCCTGGGAGAGCAGACACGGCAGCCGTTGTCCCACAGCAGCCACAGGCCAGCAGCCCGGTGCCCCTGCCCCGGGCTCACGCTTAGGCTCCTGGGAGCTACTCAGGTTGGCAAGAGAGCTCAGGACTGGCTCCGAGGCCCGAACTCTCCGCCCCGGGGCTGGCGTGACCCTGCTGCCCCCTCACCCCTGCCACTCACATCGCTCCTCCTCAGCCTCCTGGGGGAGGACCTTGAAGTCAAGGAACCAGGTCTCCAGCCAGGCAAGGACAAAGGACACGATGGGGAGCAGGTAGCCGAAGGCCCCTTTGCTGAGCAGCTGTGGAGAGAGGGCGCTGAGCTCCACGGCGGGGGCACCCCCTCCCCGAGCAGGCCCCCTCCTGGGGCTGCCCCTCTGGCACACCCCCTGCTCGGGGACCCTCTGTGGCTCATGCTCTGAGATGAATGAAGGAACTCTACAGCAGGATAGACTGAGGTTAGGCTGGAGGAAGAACTTTCTGTTCTTGGGGCTGTAGGGGGCAAGGGGGAAAGCCGGTGAAGATGATTCCTTGGGGCCTGGCCAGTGTGGCTCAGTGATTGAGCATCGACCCATGAACCAAGAGGTCACTGGTTCGATTCCTGGTCAGGGCACATGTCCATGCTGTGGGCTTGATCCCCAGTAGGGGGTGTGCGGGAGGTAGCTGATTGATGTTTCTCATTCATCAATTGTTCTATCTCTCTATTCCTCTCCCTTCCTCTCTCTCTAAAATCAATAAAAATATATATTTTTAAAATAGATGATTTCTTGGAGTATCAAAGGAGAAGTTACCCCTCACCCCCACTCCGATCCCCAAAGTCAGAGAAATGGCCCCTTCTTAGGAGAAGCCCATCCCTCAGGCCAGATGCCCACCAGACCAGCCAGACCCCAAGCCACTGACCTCAGAGAGGATGACCTTGACAATGAGGAAGGCACTGGACACCAGCGTGGTGACCTGTCCAGGGGGGGGGAGGAAGGAGAGAGGGAACACAGAGGCTGGGGAGTGAGCCCCCTCCACCTGGGCCCCTACACCAGCCCCCCCGGGCCCAGAGCTGCCGGGACAGAGGGTCTTACCGCAATCACCCACCAGTGCCGGAGCCGCAGCACCGCGTAGCCCAGGAGCAGCCCGGAGAAGCGGAAGAAGGCCAGGACCTGGGGGCAGGGGTGGAGGAGCAATCTCAGGCAAGCCAACGCCCCTTCCCCTGCTGCAGGCTCCCCTCCCCGCCAGCCCGGCACCCAGGCTCCCTCACATGGGTGTACACGCCTTCAGAGAGAACAGCTGAGCCAGTGCTTCTCTGGGGACAACTTGGATATGACCTTCTTGGACCCGAGTCTTAGCACAGCACCCCCCCGTCTCCCCCACTGAGGGCCTCTGAAGGTGGGGTCTCACTTAGGAGCCCCTTTAAAGACTGAGGAACCCCTGAGGGTGGGAGCCACGTTCCCTGCTCAGGTCAGAATGTGCCGCGGTAAGAAGGGTCTATCCAGAGTCGCGTCCCTGCTCCCTGCCTCGCTCACTCACAAAGATGTCGAAGAAGGAGGTTTTAAATCTGTAGTGGATGATCTCCTGCTCCAGGTTCTTCCGGATCCCTGTGTTGGTCTGGAAGGGGAAGAGGAAGATACAAACAGCTCTACAGGCAGCACTCAGACCTGGCTGCCCCTCCCCACCTGGGATGGGGAGGGGAGAGGAAGAACCAGGAGGAGAGGCTGTGGGCGCTAAGCCACCGCCCCTGGGGGTCCCTGAGGCACCAAGGGGGCTCAGCCAAAGGCCTGGCACCCCAGCACTAGTGCCCTCCCCGTAAGGACCAGGCAGCCCAGGCAGGCAGGGGTCAGGCCCTGGTGATGTGGGCACACCGCCCGGCAGGGGTACCGGTGGAGGCCTGGGGCCGGGCAAGGGGGGCCCTGGGCCCTGTGCTGTGGGTGGGCTGGCCGGTAGGTAGGACTGCTTAGAGCAGGCCGCACGTAATTTCATCTCCCTCCCACCACTCTGGTGCTCCATCTTCCCAGCCAACCATCCATCTGGGTGATGGGGGCAGGGGGTGGGCAGTGGTGTCAGACGGAGCCCCAGGTGGCAAATCAATTGATTAGGTTTGTGCTTAATGGGCAAAATCCATCACGCTGCTGGAGAGGATGGCGCGGAGTGAGCAGACTTGTCCTCACCCTGTCCCTGCCGTAGCCCCCACACACTTTCAATGGGACCCCGAGACCTTGGCGAGGGAGAGAGGGGTCTGGACAGATGTCGGAGCCGGGCTGCAGCCTGAGGGGGGCCGCCACCACCGAGAGCAGGACCCGGGCTTCTACTGTCTGGCAGGTGTGGGGGCGGGAGGCTGGTTAGAGATACAGATGTTCAGACCGCGGAGTCTGAATCTTAGGGTAAGCGGAACATCTGGAATCTTTATAAAGCTTCCTGGTGATTCTGGTGCTGAGACAGGGAGCCAGCAGGCTGGACAGCCCCCTGCCCCCCACTGATGTTAGAAACCCCCCAACCAGATCTCTGTGGAGTTCAACACCCTCATGCCTGGCGTGACACCCCACCCCACCCTACCCAGGCCCTGCCCTCTTCTTCCTCCTCATCTGCTCCCTCTTGGGCTCCACAGCCCCTCACCCCTAACAGTTGCTATCCCTCAAGCTCTGTCCTCTTCTCTCTCTCTCTCTCTCTCTCTCTCTCTCTCTCTCTCTCTCTCTCTCTCTGTTATTAGGTATTATATGTACACATATCTTACCATTGCCCCCCGCCACTCCAATACATGCCCTCCCTCCCCAGAATTCTTCCTCCATTGGTTATGCTTATATGCATGCATACAAGTCCTTCCGTTGATCTCTTATCTCCCCCAGATCTCCCTCCCCTCCCCGCTGTAATTTGACAGTCTGTTTGTTGCTTTACTGTCTCTGTATCTATCTTTTTGTTCATCAGTTCATAATGTTCTTTATTATCCATAAATGAGTGAGATCATGTGGTGTTTTTCTTTCATTGACTGGCTTATTTCAATCAGCTCTTTCTCTCTTTTTATTTAAAATATATTCTTATTGATTTCAGAGAGGAAGGGAGAGGGAGAGAGAATAGAAACATCAACGATGAGAGAGAATCATTGATCGGTTGCCTCCTGCACGCCCCACATTGGGGACTGAGCCCACAACCCAGGCCTGTGTCCAACTGGGAATCAAGCCATGACTTCCTGGTTCCTAGGTCAACACACTGAGCCACACCAGCAGGGCATCCACTTGTTCTCTTTACAGAGAACTCTCCCTCTGCCCGGGCACCTGCCTGCACCAACCGCACCCGGACTCAGGAGAGCCGAGTGCCAGTCTCTGGCAGCAAAGCCCCATGACCCTGCCGGGGCCTTGTAGCCACTGGGCCACACAGTCTGTTAGAAAACTGAAAAGATGCGTGTGCCAAAATAGGAAATAAAACTACAAAACTGAAAATTAATAAAACTTCAGGCGTCTCCCAAGGGAAGCACTGCGTTAGCTCTGCTAACGGCTAAACCCAGCCTCCTAAACATGCTCATCGCATTCGGACACAGTGGAGGTTAGGGTCCCCCACTTTGCAAGAACTCCCTCATCCACCTAGTGACGGCCTCGGATCACAGCCGATACAGCCAGGCCGTCTCCGAAGCACAGCCATCCAGACATCTCCAACTCCTGCCTGGCAGGCACTTAACCCTGAGGAAGGAGGTGAGGGAAGCGCGGTGCTTGCTCTGACGCTGGATGGACCTTCACAAGGAAGAGCGCTAAGGCCTTGGAAGCTCTCTGAACCGCCCTGGGCCTCGCTGGGCCTCGGCTCCTCATCAGGAAGATGGACCCCCGGGTCCGTGAGGAAGGGGCCAGCTCATCTCTGTGGGCAAAGGACAGCCCCCTCCGAGCCCTGGCTGCCCTCCAGCTCCGCATGCTCTTCACCCTTCAACTAGCCCCTTCTCCAAACTCCTCGCTTCTATCAACAAAGTCCTCCTTCTCCTGTCACCCGAGCTTGAGACCCACAGGACGGGTGTCTGCCGTCCAGCACCCTCACTTCGCAGACACGAGGGGAGGAAACAAAGGAGGAGCTGGGTCCAGCCGAGTCCGGGAGGCCCTGCTCCTGCCTCTGCAGTCGGGTCCCGCTCTGCCCTGTCAGCGCCCAGAGAGCAGGCCCCACGCCAGCTGCCAACGGGCGGGGCGGGCCCTACACTGAGAGGCACTTTGTCTCGGGGCCGCTGCTGGCATCTCACCAAACCCTGAGAGGCCCAACTGGAGGGTCCTGGAGGGTCCAAACGGGGAGGGAGAGTGGGGGAGTCACCGAGAACTGGGAGCTTACACTGGTGTGGCCCCCACGGTACCCTCCGCGATGGCTCAAGAAATGTTTGCTGAGTGAATGAATGAAGCCAGAAAGCAACGTAGGGCAGAAAGAAGACAGGTTTCGATGGTGGGGTCTCTCCTTTGTAGAAAGCGGGAGGTTCAAATCCCAACCCCCCCCCCCCCCCCTCCCGCCCAGCACGGCTCGTGCCCCAGCCTCCAGCCGCTCACGTTCAGCTCGATGATCCAGAGCAGGGAGATGAAGAGCAGGTCGAAGGTGACGAAGAGGCAGAAGGTGCGGCGGACGTCGGAGATGGCCTGGCGCTTCTCGGGCGGCGGCAGGAAGAAGTGCGAGGAGAGGCTCTGCTTGCAGGACAGGGAGGAGCTGAGGGAGGCCACGGCGGGCAGGCTGCGCTCCAGGTCGCAGGACGGGGCCCTGGGCAGCTTGTTCATCCTGGTGGGCCCGCTTCGCAGCGGGGAGGGGGGGCCCTCAGCGGCCCAGCTGCAGGGGGAGGCGGGGGCTGGGTCAGGCCAAGCATCCCAGGGTCCTCCCTTAACCTCCTTCACCTTCACACACAGCCCAGGCGCCCATCCGCTCCCCCAAACCTCTGACACACACACACCCTCCCAGCCCCCCGCCCCCGCCAGGGCCCTCTCTGCCCAAACCCCTCCCAGCAGCTGGGCTTCCAGGCTCAGAGGTGTGACCACCCCTCTCACTGCCTCTTCCTCCCGCCCGCCCCTGCCAAGCCCGGCGGCCGGGTTCACCCTCGGAGGGCTCTGGGGTCCTCCCTGGTGTCTGGGGCTGTAGCCAGCTCCTGCCCAGACAGCCCCGAGGTTCAGCCTCTGGTGTCAACAGCCGCCCCTCTGGCCAGGCCCTCCCCCCCCCGCCCCTGGAGAAGAGGGCCCAAGCTCTGTTCTTTGTTTTCCAAGCACAAAGCCACATGCCCTCCCAGGAGCCGAGCCTACCCTCCCACCCTCTCATCCTGGCAACTGGGAGGGCCTTCCTGGAGCAGAGTCTCCCGGGGTTCTGGGGTGTGGAGGAAGGACATCTCCGCCCCTTCTGCTCACCCCTCCATCCCCACCTGAGGCCCAACCACCACGTCTCTCCATGGACACTGCCCCTTGCTCCTAACGGGCGTCTCCAGGCTGCCTCTCACCCGGCAACCACCCCTTCCCCACAGCAGCCAGAGGAAGCCTTCAAACACCCCGCCCACCCGCCATCGCCAGCCTGCAACCCTCCACCGCGGGGCGCCACCGGCCCGAGGGGAGCAGCGCCCTCCTCACGGCCCTGGCAGCCCAGGCCCCGCGGGAGGTTCTGCCAGGCTCCTCTCCGGAGTCCTCGCCTCACCGCTCACCCGGGCCTCCAGGTGCCCTCACCCGGGCCCACGCGGGCCTCGGGCCTCGCTCTCCGCTGCTGGGTGGGCCGTCCTCCCAGCCCCTCCGCACGGCACGTCGAGCCCTCTCCTCGGGGTCTCCTGCCCCTGCCCCGGTCAGTGTCAGTGGGCCCCTCCTCAGTGGGCTCCTCGCTGTCTGAAACGCCTTCTTTCTTGTTCTGCAAACTCCACGGGGGCAGGGCCTCGCCCTGACGTGGTCACTGTGCCTCCTGGAGCCCCGCACAACGCCTGGCACCTAGGCGGTGCTCAGTGACCGATGGGTGCCTAAGGGGGAGACCCAGAGGGGCTCCTGGCCCTCAGCAGCGTGCTCCGCGGCAGAGAGGACCGGGGCAAACCCAACGAGAAGAACCAGCCCCGCCCAGGAGCCCCGCTGCCCGCAGAACGGCGGCCGTGGTCGTGGCCGTGGCCGTGCCTCACAGGGCAGGCTGGCTCTTCCCCGTCCGCAGAGGAGACGGCGCTCAGAGGTGGTGGACATACCCATCCCTCCACTGCCTGTGCACCATGCGGCTGACGTTCTTATGAACCCCAGAGACAAAAGGGGCCGGGGCACCCCCTCCCGGGGGCATAAGACCGCTGCTCCACCGATGTGCTGCCGGCTCAGAGGCCCCGCTCCTGGCGGGGGGAAAAGGTTCCGCCGAGAGCCGGAGAGGAGCTGACTCGGCGCAGTGGGCCTGAGCCTGTAGGCCTTGCTCAGTCTCCCTGAGTCTGCTCAGCAGCAGCGCCGGGGGACAGACTTGGGGGCCAGTGGAAGGAGAGCCCTGGATGTCTGTCCCTGACCCGGGGAGACAAGAGCTCAGCAGCCTTCCTCCTGATTCGCTGTTTCCTCTCAACGTTAGCTGGATCTGCTGCCTGCCACAGCCTCTCAACCTCCGAGGTCCAGAACGAGCCCCTGTGTGTGGCCGGCAGGAGGTTCTGAGCAAGCCCCAGGGACGGCTCCCAGCGGAGGCTCCCGCCCCAGGCCACCCCACAGTACCACACTCTCTGGAGGGACTGAGGGGAAGCCGAGCGCGGCTCTGGGAGGGGACCGCGGACGGATGTGACAGGCGCTGGCAGTGGCACCCGCAGCATCCATCAGCGGGACCGGGGCCAGCCGGCACCTCGGCACATCCCTCACCCTGGCAGGGCCGCGGCTCCAGGGCAGTGACATTTCTGCGGCTCTGATAGCCCTCCGTCTCCTGTCAGACCTGTCTCCATCTCGCCCCTTTCCTGTCTGTCTTCGCTTTGTAAGTGTCCTGTACCCCCTCTCCCTGCCCATACGCTGTCGCCCCTCTGGGTCCTCCTCCCCATCTCTCTCCCATCCGAGTCTTCTCTCCTCCCTTCTCTCCTTTTCTCCTGAGCCTCTCTGCTTGTCTTCTCTGTCTGCCTGCACTGTGACTCTCTCCCTCTTCCCTGCCTCACTGCAGGGCACTGTGGCTTCCCTACTCCCAGGCTGCTCCTGTGTCTGCCCGTCTGCCTGTCTGTCTGTCTGTCTGTCTTTCCCCTCGGCTTCCTCCCTCCTCCCCCTCCCTGGGGACAGGACTCGGGTGGCAGCAGCTTGGGTGTGAGAAGCGCTCGGAGTGGCAATGGCACTGACACATCCAGACATCCCGATGAAGCGAGAGACAAGGCGAGGGCTGAGAGCAGAGGTGTTGGGGAGCCTGGAGCTGCAGACACAGGGTGCGAGGAAGCCAAGCACGGGGGGGGGGGGGGGGGGGGGGTCTGAAGCGAGGGCAGGGTGGCCGCCCAGAGTCTCCTCCTATGATCTCCCTCCCCCACGAACGCAGCTCCGAGTCCAAACAAGTGAGAGCTTGTAACAGAACGAGCAGCGGTCAGGACGTGGCCCGGGCCCCAGGCTCCCTAGGGCAGCCACCAATCCCGGTAACTGGGCAAGTCCTTCCCACCAAGGAAAAAGCCCTGTGGTGTTTTTAAAACCTCCCTTTTTTAAGCAAGAGAAACAAAAATAAAAAAAAAAGAGAAATAAAAAAAGGAGAAACGAAAATAAATAAGTAAAATCCCTACTTGGAACCTCCCTATAGAAAATAGAAACAGAGGACTGTTAGGGTCCTGCCCCAGAAGGAGGCCACCGAGAGCCTCACCCGCACAGACTTCTACAAACTCTGGGGGCACCGCTTGGCACGCTCCCTCAGGAGCTGCCCACGGGCCTTCGCGCCCCCGCAGACCCCTGTGAAGACCGCCTTGGCCCGGACCTGCCCCTCACAGTCCCCCCGGGCCCTGATGGTGGAGGTGGCGGGACAGCCAGGCATGGCCTCCACGCCACAGGCCCACCCCTGGTGGGGGAGGCGGGCAGGAGGGCTGTGAGGCTGGAGCCAGCAGGGCTGCCACCCAGGCCCCTGCGAGCGGCACCTCCCTCCCAACCCCACCGCCCGCTGCCTCCGAGGCGCCGGAGCGGAGCGGCACGCGTGGCGTGAAGGAGTCCCCGGCGTTGGCTGCCGGCTTGATATTCATCCTGTGTTTGCAGAAGCTGAGCTGCTAAGGCTTAGGGAGAGGCGGGAAGGAGGGAGGGAGGGGGGAAATTGGGGGTTTTATCATCCTAGCTTGGAACGGAAAGAGGGGTGGGGGAAAGGGGCAAATCAGGTCTCTGGGCAAGATGGAAAGCTAAGCCCTCACCCCACCTCACCCCAACCCCCCAGGAACCGCACGTCCTGCCAGCGCCTCAGGAGCCTTGGGTGGGGCCCAGGGCTCCCAGCAGATAACAGCAGGCAGCTGACATCCCGGAAAGAGACCTGGACTCTGAGATCTAGGTTCAAATCTCAGTCCGCCCTGAGCTAGCTGTGTGATCTGGGCCAAATATCACTGTTCCTAGATTCGGTTTCTTCAGCTGCATTAAATAAAGGCAACAAGAAAATACAGCAAGTCCTCGCCTATCCTCGAAAGATTCTGTAACTTCAAGGGAAACTGCACATAACGGGACTAATCTTACCACAGGCTAATGGATATAAACAGGAGTTAAGTTCCTAGGGCAACACTGTGCGTTCTAAAGAAAGGATGTTGAACCTCTGAGGACCCGCTGTACCTAACGCCACAGAACCGCACACTCAGGAGTGGCTCAAATGGTAAGTGCGCACTTCACCACAATAAAAAAGGCAACGATTGCTGCCTCCTAGGGCTGACTTCTAGAAGGCAGGAGCTTTGCAAAGCCCTTCAGGTGTGTGTGTGTGTGTGTGTGTGTGTGTGTGTGTTGGGGGGAGGGAGGGCTTATTACACATATCGAGGTGTAATAAAATCACCCCAAAAGGCCTTTGTTAAAACCTACCCTGTTTCCCCGAAAATAAGACAGTGTCTTATATTAATTTTTTCTCCCAAAGTTGCGCAAGGTCTTATTTTCAGGGGATGTCTTATCTTTCCATGCACTAGGTCTTATTTTCGGAGGATGTCTTATTTTTCGGGGAAACACAGTAGCTCTCCACAGCACTTGCTGCTCCAGACCTACATGCTCAGTGGTCTGTGTTTAGGCCTGTCTTCTCCTCCTGGAATGCAAACGTCAGGACAGCAGGGTCTCCCAGGCTCTGCCCGCTGCTGCCCGCCCAGGACCAGAGGGCACCAGGCTCACAGCAGGCACTGGGGGAATGTGTTGAAGGACTATTGGCACGCTTCCCTCCAGGAGCGCACACACACCCTGCCAAGTCCAGATCACCTCCCCGGAACCCGCCTGATCTGGGACCCACACGCTGCCCCCATGAGCTGGCAAGGAGAACTGGTTTCCTGGATCCCCCACAGGCAGGGCGGCCGCTCCCCGCCCCTTCCCTGAGCCTGGGCTGGTAAGAAGAGGTGAGTTAAATTCCTTGGGGAGCAAAGGTCAAAAAGGAAGGACTGAGCAAGACCCTAGCATGCCGAAACCGGTTTGGCTCAGTGCATAGAGCTTCGGCCTGCGGACTGAAGGGTCCCAGGTTCGATTCTGGTCAAGGGCATGTACCTGGGTTGCGGGCACATCCCCAATGGGGGGTGTGCAGGAGGCAGCTGATCGATGTTTCTCTCATCGATGTTTCTAACTCTCTATCCCTCTCCCTTCCTCTCTGTAAAAAAATCAATAAAATATTTGTTAAAAAAAAAAACCTATGACCCCTTCTCTTGCTTTTTTTGGGGGGGAAGAGGGAAGATAATAGCATTACTCCAATAATCTCCTGACCACTAACTGCTCCCAGGACACCGTATGGCCGGCTGGTCTTCCTCTGTGCCTCTGCTCCCCTGTCCTCTCGCTGGGGGGACATTCTGACTGATGAGAACAGTCCAGATGTCACCTCCTAGGCAAAGCTGTCCCTCTCCCCCAGGCCTCCCCAACTCCGGGTCGTGGGACTCCGGCTCAGCATTCCCCTTACACGCAGCCATGTCTCTGGAGCCTTGAGGCCCAGGCCACTCCGTCTGGCCATGGTACATGTCCCGTCGGTCCACGGCCCTGCGGATCCGCAATGCCCACCCCGTCATAGGGGGAAGGGCACGAGTCAGAAACCCAGAGCCGCCTTTTATGAGGCTGGCCCTTAGCCACCTCAGCCTCCTCATCCAAGTAACGGGGACAGGGCAATATAGTGCCCACATCACAGAGCTCTTAAAAGGGATGAGAAGTAACACATGCAAAGTGCCTGTGCCTAATTAACAGCAGCTATTACTACCACCGGGGCCGTGGTGCAGGGTTAGAGGCGGGGCCTGGCCAGGCACGCACAGGCAGGCCCAGCACACGGCACTTCTGCCCAAACGGAGGGCCCGTCGGTGCTGCTGGGCCGGGGACGGCTCTGGCCGCAGGGAGCTGGCCCGGGATGGCACAGCCTAGGCTCCCCTGTGGCCCGTGCCCTCCGCCTCGGTTCCGCCGGCTGACAGCCCCTGCTCGGCCCCCCCCCTCCGGGGTTTGGGGAGTTTCCTGGACAAGGAGGAGTTCAAAGAGAGGACGCGGCAGCAGTGACGAGTGAGACTGCAAAGCCGAGGCCAGAGTCCCATTTCTCCTTCCCTTCCTTGTGGGGAAGTGGACAGGGAAGTCGAACCAAAACAGAAACTATATTCATCACTGTCCCCTCCCCTCCCCGGCCGGAGGTTCTGACGGAGCGTTTACTGGAAAACCCTAACAAACGGAGACCCACTCAGCCCCACTGCCCCCTCCGCACGCCAGGCCCTGTGAATGGCAGGATGCCCCCCGCTCCGAGATTCTAGGACCCTGGCCGATTCGGGGGGGCTGGTGAGTCAGGCCTCTCCCACTCCTTAGTGTTGTTGGATAAAACCGGGGCTAAAGAGAACAAGGTCAGTCTGGAAAAGACGGGTCATCTTCCGGGAAAGATCACAGTCCCCATCAGCCCACTCAGGGGAAGGTCCCCTGCAGGGGTGGGGGTGGGGTCCCTCAGACTCCTCCCAGCACCAGCCCTGATGACACAAAAGCCAGGACCAATCACTTCCCAGCCGGAAAAAGCTCACAATGCGGATACACAATTGATCAGATGTGTTGGCCTCCCTGACCCTTATCCCTTTTTTTTTTTTTTTTTTTTTATGTGGCTGCTGTTTTGGGGGCCAGGACTCTGAGTACACAATCATGGACCTGGAGTTAGGAGGTAGTTCGTAAGTCCTTAATGAGTGACCTTAACCTTAGCTGCCAAGTCTCAACTTCCTCATCTGTAAAATGGAGCCAACAACCTCTGCCACTCGCTAGGACAAGCAGGAGTGGTCAGATGCACAGGATTTTTGTCTAACCTGCACAAGTCCAAGTGTGCGAGAGCCCGAATAAATCAGCGCACACACGCTAGCGCCTGCCGTGTGCCAGACTTGGCTGGTCCCTGGGGACACTCTGCAGCCCCTGGTCTGGGGCTGACGGATAAATAATAAACAGTGCTAAGTACGCTGTGATCAGCACTTTTAGGGAAGAAGGAACAGAAAAAGGACTGTGGGCTCCAGAAAAAGGAGCATCTGACCCAGGCTTGAGGGCATGAGGTTGGGAAAGCCACAGGGAGGAGCAGCCATCTGACCTCGGCCTTGAAGAATCCGGGCATCTATTCCTGGAGGCAAGGAGGATGAGCATTCCGGGCCAGCAAAACACCCTGAGCAAAGGCCCCGCCTCTGGTCTCCAGCACAGGCCCTGCCCACGGACGACGGAGCCTCCCCCAGGGGGCTCGCCCCCAAATTCCTGGTACCAGGTCTCTAACAGGCTCCTAACCCAAGAGGTCCTTCCTCATGGCCAATCCGGAAAAAGAATCCCCAATCTCAGCCCTCTGCCCAGCCCAGCATCCTCTCCCCCACAAGAACTCAGTTTAGAGGACCCCGCTCATCATTCTGAGCACAACAGAGTCCCCACCACCGCCCTCCCTGCCCCATTAATTGTCCAAACCACCCTTGGCCTTTCTCTGCCTTGGGTTCCAGGGCTCATTTCTCTACAACTCACGCTTGCCATGTAACATCCATTTCCAAGTTCACTGGCTGAGCAGACAGACATCGGGTCTGGGTCTTTTTCACCCTGAAATCCTCACTCGATAAATCCAGCTCCGGCCCCCAATGCCCTCCACCACAGTATCTAACTTCCTGACAAAAAGCCAAGCTTTCTGGCTCTGCGACAGAGAAAGTGAGCCACTCCAACTGCCCTCCAGCAGCTTATGAAATGAAAAGTCATAACCACTGCTCTGTGTGGTTTTTACATAAACAATAAGAGATAACAGTTATTGAGCACTCGTAGGCTCGCTGTGTTAAGCCCTATACACACGTTATTTCATTTAACCCTCCCAACCGTTCTGTGAGGAGGCACATTACTATCTCCCATTTTACAGATGAGAAAACGGAGGCACGCACTTCATCAAGATCACAAAACAGTATCAGGGCCCAAGAAGCCTGATTCAGGAGTTTGCATTCTCAATCACTATGCCATTATGGACCGGGTGCTACAGGGACATAGAGGAGGAGTATTTAGTTTTGGGGCCTGGGGGAAGGGTGATCCAGGGGTGGTGCTCCCTGAGCAGAGCACTCTGACGGACAAGTAGAAGGTAGCCTGGCAGATAAGAGGCTTCCTAGGTAGAGGGGCTGGTGAATGCAAAAACAGAGAGACAGGAAATAGCAAGGTGTGGGCAAGTGCAGCCTACAGCGCCATATTACTGCACCTCAGGGTGCACATAGGAGACTCAGATCATAGAGGGCACTGCAAACTGCGCTAGGAACTCAGCCTTTCCCACAGGTAACGGGAAGCCATCAAAGGCTGTTAAGCAAGGTGGTGACACTAGGAGACTTGTGTTTTAAAAGGATCACAAGCCGAAACCGATTTGGCTGTCGGCCTGCGGACTGAAGGGTCCCAGGTTGATTCCGGTCAAGGGCATGTACCTTGGTTGTGGGCAATCCCCAGTTGGGGGTGGCGTGCAGGAGGCAGCTGATCGGTTTCTCCCTCATCAATGTTTCTAACTCTCTGTCCCTCTCCCTTCCTCTCTGTAAAAAAATTCAATAAAATATATATTTTTAAAATTAAATAAATAAAAGGATCACAAGAGTTACAGTTTGGAGAGTGGGTGCAGGCAGCCAGGACAGAAAGTTGCTGGGAAGCCACTGCGATCTTCCGATGAGAAACACACCAACAAAGGTGGCAACAGAAAAGAATAAAGTTCGCTGGGCTAAGTCTCCTCTTAGACGTGGGAATTGAGGGAGAAGAGAAACTAAGATATTGCCCAAGTTTTTCCCGCTAGGATGGGGTGTGGCCGAGGGAGAATGAGTCTGCGGGGGAAAAGGCCCTTCAAGTTCAAGCGCGGTGTGCTCCAGCTGAAGTGGAGCTGCCATGCTGGCAGGCAGCGGGGTGGCCACGTCTGGGGGCTGCAGGGAGGGCTGCCCTGAAGTCGTAGGTCTGGGCGCCTTCCGGGTATGTGAGTGGTGTGACGCTGAAGTCCTGGGAGTAGATGAGACCATCCAAACTCAGTGACAGGGTGAGGGGCTGGAGCAAAGGAAAATGGAAACCAGCACTTCCAGAGCAGCAGGAAGAAAACAAGGAGCTGCTGACCGGGAGGAACCCCCAAATGGGAGGAGGGCACGTGTTAGCTATGCAGTCAGGAGTGAGTGTTCTTGTTGTTATGCACCTGTAAGAACTCAAGCAAGATACTTTAGAGGGCCCTTCTTTTGTCCATCAGAAAGTCACTGAAAGGAAGTGGAGGCCGGATGTCAGGCGGACGCAGATCTACCGGGACGCGGAGATCTCTGCCTCCTCCTTAGGAAACTCCGACCCCTCCCCATATCCAGCTCCTGCCCTTCATACCCAGATACCGTCCCCCTCGCCTCTTCCCTCACAGTCTACAGGAGGCTCTGGAGGGAGCCCCGACCCCCTGCCCCAGGCCCTCTCGAGGGGGCGGGCCGAGGAGGGCCAGAGACCTCCGACCCCGCTCGGGACGGAGGGAGGCCGAGCAGAGGAAGGGAGCGGAACCTGGGACGCGGGGGGGTGTGGGCAGGGTCGGACGGAACCAAGAACGGACGCCAGGCAGGAAGGCGGGATCCTCTAGCAAAATACAGCCCGGCGGCACTACCCAGCCCCAGAGACGCTGCTGGACCCACCTGCTGCATGTCAGCCACCGGCCCGGCTCTTCGGCCCCAGCCGAGTCAGCACCGCGGCCCCGGCGGCGCCTCAGAGCGGAAGGGGATCTCGCAACGGCACCACTTCCGCCGCCGAGTCCGCCCCGCAGAGCGCACGGGGGCGTGCGCAGCTGAAGTCCCGCCCCCAGCCCTCCAGCCCAGCCCCAGGGGCCGGAAGTGGGTGCTGCTGCTTAAGTTAGACGTGCAGAGGGTCTTCCTAGGCGTGGGGAATGGGAAGGGAGCTCCGGGCGTGGACTTCATTGGGCCACATGGGCCTGGCACAGTGGGAAATGGGGAACTTTCTGAAAAGAGGCCTGTGGTGCCGGGAGAACAGGATTTGGAAAAGTCCACAATTTACTCTTGAAACACTTAGGTTTCCTTTCCTCCCCAGCCTCTTTCAGCCATCCCTAGCAGCACCTAGAACTTCTGTGGTCATTCCTAAGGGTACCCCCAGCTTGTTTTCTGGAGGAAGGACTCCTAGACTAGAGGATTGGACAGTAGGGTCAAGGCCCTGGCTCTTTTTTTTTTTTTTTTTTACATTGTAATTTATTTATTTTTAATCCTCACCCAAGGATATTTTTCCATTGATTTTTACAGAGAATGGAAGAGGGGAGAGAGAGAAGAGAAAGAAACATCGATGTGAGAGAGACACATCAATTGGTTGCATACACATCTTACCTAGGACCAGGGATTGAGCCTGCAGCTGAGGTACATGCCCTTGACCTGAATTGAACCCTTCAGTCCAAGGGCCAATATTCTATCCACTGAGCTAAACTGTCTAGGGCAAGGCCCTGACTCTTGGATGAACACCAACCAGGTCTTCCATATGAAGAGGGGACCTCCTCCCTTTGTTTTTCCCTGAAAAAAGGAGTCTCAGCACAGTTATTTACAAAGATTTATTACAGCAAGGAGCAGTTCAGGTCTTGAGTCAGGGAAGAGGGGAAGGGGGCAGAGCAGCTGCAGGACAGAAGAACCTGGCTCCCCTCAACATGTGCCCTCCCCCCCCCCCCCAGGATGTATACTAGGTGGCATTCCTGGCATCAAAGCACACACAAAACGCAACAAAGCAGGCTCTGCCAGTCCGTCTTCCAGACACCCAGGCTAGGGAGTAGGGGTGATAGGGGAAGATTTCCACTGTGGAGAAGGGTGCCTGAATCCTCAGCCCTGGAAGAAGCCAGTAAGACGTGTGGTGACTGGGAGTCCCCCATAGGAGGGGAGGGGACGGAGGAGGATCTAGGGCACCTACAGGTTCTCTGTACCCCCCTTTCCTCAGACCTTAGGGTCCTGCCCTGTGGTTTTCCTGTGCCCAAGGGAGAGGGTCTGGAAGTAGAACTGTGAAGGATGGACCTTTGTCCCTCGATTACTAGATTTCCCAAGCAATTTCTCTCGCATCCTACATCCCACTGGGTGAATAGGGGGATAACTGGCAGGCGTAGGCATTAGGCAGCAAGTGCCCAGGACTCTGGGCATCAGCCAAAAGTGGGCAAACAAGCAAACACAGACCAGCTTTAGTCTTCTAGAAGTCAGAAGCCGCAGCCCTAGCGAGTGAGGGGAAGGGTAGAAAACAGGGCAGGGATAGAGGGTTTCTGCGGAACAGTGATGCCCCCTCCACTTCCTTCTGGGAGATGCAGAGCTGAGTGCCTATGTGCCAGGCTCAGGGTGCGCAGGGCGCTGTGGGTCTTCCCCAGGCTCTGCAAGACAAGCAGAAGGACTCAAGGCCTGAACACGCCTACCAAGATCCCAGCTCCGCCTCCCCAAGCCCCACTCCCAAGCCTCACCACTTCGTGCGGGGTCTCTCACTTGGTCCTCAGAGCTTCCATCTCTCTGGGGCTCATCCAAAGGGGGCGGACGCTCCCAGGGCCCCTCCAGACCCTGGCCACAAGGTGTCTTCTGCCCAACTGGGGACGAGGGGGAAAACGATGAAACCAGACTCTGATTGTCCACCTGACTGTCCTGGGTCAGGAGTCGAGTCTCTGATGGCTGAGGCTAAGCTTTCTGAGGCCATCATGAAGTAGCGGAGAGAACCGTGGACTAGGGCAGCTCTGCCAATGACTAGCCATGTGACTTGGATCAGTGGTCGCCAACTAGTGGTCCGTGAGGAAAGGTTGGTGACCGCTGACTTAGATAGTTCAGTTTATTACCTCTCTGAAGGGAATGGCAAAAAGCAAAATTGTGTAGATGATCTTAAATAAGAAGGTAAGTAATACCTGCCTAACCCAGCGCTGGCACCCGGGAGCCACTCTGGGAGCTGTGGCAATTGATATAGCTCCTCAGTAGTCTTGTCATTCAATCCACTGCCCCATTGCATTTCTGGAGGGAACAATCTCCTCTATTCTTTTCACCTGTTCTGGAGGTTTCGGTGGGAGTTGACTTAACTAGCGCTTTCGATCCCATGGCTGACGTCCTGATGGCCAGAGATGCAGAGAGAAGGCCCAAGACATTGGGTTTGGGTGTAAAGACTGGGTACATCAAGCAGGGGTGGTCCATCGTCTTCATCCCCATAAATACATGTGCACTTGGAGGAATAGATGTATGTGGTGCAGCCTTCCATGTCTGGGCACGGGACAAACAGCCATGAAGGTCTGGAGTCATCCTGCTTAGAAATTCTCTGGGCCTTGGGGCCCTCTATGGAAATTGTTGGGGCCCTAAGGCCCTTTCTGAAGGTCTTAGGCCTCTCTCTCTCCCCTCTCTTCCCAGGTAGCTAGGGTTGGAGGTGGGGTTGACCAGATGGTTCTTGAATCCTAGATTCACCATCTAGACACTAGAGGGCACCCTCTCACTCAGCTTAGGAAATAAAAGAGGAGAACCAGTGACGGAGTCCAGAAGAGGACTTACCAGCCAGCCCCCTTTGCCTGCCAACAGAGACCTCATCCTGTGTTCGGAAATGCAAGTGTTGCGGACATTGGACACTCTTAGTCCTCTATGTCTGCAACTCCTTACCCCTCACCGCCACGGAAGGAAAGTCCTTCCTTGGTCCAGGCGCAAAATTCATGTGGCCTTGCCTTAATTCTCAGGGAAGAGAGGAAAATTGGAGAAAATGTGACTGAGAGAGGGACTGAGTTGACCTGAGCTTCCCAGGTGTCAGGAAAGGCTGGGTGTGAGGTATCCTGTGGGGTGAGAGGATGGGGAGGCCCCATAGTGATGGCACTTTACACGTGCGTGCGAGGAACTGTGGCCTGGGAGGGGGCGCCCTAGGGCACTCAGGAGGACTGCACCTGGCCCACGGTGGTGGGGCCCAGCTTCATAGCCCCTTTAGCTTACCAGGCCCCCTGCTGCCCTTCAGGACTTCAGCCTGGCTGTCCTCCTCCTCCTCCTCCTCTTCTTCATCGTCTTCCTCCTCTTCCTCCTCTCTTGGGTAGCCCAGCTCCCGCAGCTCCCCAAGCTCATCCTCCTCCTCTGAGGCCTGGTTCTCGCCCAGGTTGCTGATGGATTGCAGGTGAGACTCGGCAATGCGTTGCACGGCTGCCACGGGGACACCCAGAAGGGCAGGGTCAGCGGGGCCCAAGAGCCAGCCCCTGCAGCTGGAGAGGCGTGTGGCCCAGCCCCCAGCCTCCTTCCATGGGGCTGCATCAGAGCTACCGCTCGCCCCAGGGGTCTAGGTCAAAGGCTGAAGGCTACAGGTCAGTCTGCTGGAGGGAGCAGGGCTGAAGCAGCAGGGGGTAGACGCTTGATCAGATTTGGCTCTTAAGCTGCTCAAAGGTGCTGGCCCCCCAGAGGCTGGCCCCCGGCCAGAGGGTACCAAGCTGGACAAGACCAGGCGGGCACAATAGCAGCTTAACATTCCCTGGCTGGGAGCTTGCTTTTCCAAGGACCTGGACACAGTGTCCGGCAGCTACAATCCCAGGGGATTTGTCCCTTTCAGTTCCTGGGGACTTGCCCAGCCGGCTTAGGGCTCCCTGCTCACCTCTGTCGCCCTTTTGTTGGGCTCGGTCAACACCCCCTGGCACTGCCCCATCGCAGGTGCCACTCCATGCACCTCTGCCCAGCCTCTCAGAGGTAGGAACAGTCCTGAGGCCGCGGACATGACTGTCTGCAGCCCGTGAGTCTGTGCCTGGGGATGTGGCGTGCTCATCGCGGCCCCCACAATCTTGACCCACATCCCCAAGCTTCCAGCTCCCTCTGTGGTGACCTAGAAAGCAGCAAACACCACCCACCCCCCCAGCACCACCAAGGCCTGCTGGGATTGGGCCTAGGAAGGGAGCTGTGTGGGCAGCTGGAGACACATTTCCAGAAGATGGAAAGGGCCAGGTGGTTCGGAGAAAGGGGCGAGGGCTGGGGGGTTCTGGGAGGATGGCAGAGGATGAGGGGACACGGTGAGCCGCTGCTGGGGCAGAGGCCACAGGAGGCCAGGAGCTGGTGGGGTTTCAGGGCATTGGGGTCACTGAACTCCCAGCCCACAGACAAGAGGCTGGTGAGCTGAGGGCTGGGGTTGCCACAGTTCCCTCTTGGTCTGCAGGCAGCCCCTCCCTCAGAAAGCCCCGAGGGGCAGATCCAGGCTGGAAACCTCCGGTGCAGTGAGCAGGGCACCGCAGTCCTGCCAACTCGGGGACAGGCACAGAGGGTGCATTGTGTGTGCGCTGCCCCGCCCAGCCCAGGGCCTCCCGCTGGCTGTGGGCGAGCTCCCCGGGCAATAAAAGCACAATAAATCGCCCTGCCCTGGCCTTGGGGACGCAGGGCAAAGCTCTGCCCTGAGCCAAGTGTGAGAGCCGGGCCTGGGAGAGACCCCCTCACGCCAAGACTCAGTGCTGGCCGCCCTCTCCCAGGGGCCTGGGCGTCTCCCCTGCAAACCCGACCCTGTTAGGGGCTCTCTCTTGCCCAGAAAGGGGTGGAAGCCTCCAAAACAGTGCCCTTCAGGTACAGAGGGTCCTCTGAGGGCTGGAGGGAGGGGAGGAGGGGGGAGAAGAGGGGGGAGAGGAGGCGGCAGTTCCAGCAGCCTCCCTCTCCCCGAGCTAGAGGAGGTGAGCTCAGTTCCTGAGCCAGAGAGACAACAATCGGGGTGCGCAGAGCCAATCTGGCACCCCGTGGGCTCCCGCGTGCCCGGCGCCCCGTGCCTGTGCCTCTCAGGGCTCTCTTGGGTCTCCCCCTCCCCCTTGTCTCCTTTCTCTGTCTCCATCTCCAGGGCTCTGAACCCCACCCCCCACCAGGTCTCCTTGTTAAACTCAATGGTCCCCAGCACAGACCCTGGTCTGCCCGCCCCTGTCCTGGCCCAGCCCACTACCCTGCTTCTCCCCCCCACTCAGGCTCCCCCAAGGCGCAGTCCAGAGGGCCGGGGGGGGGGGGCAGGGGATGGGGGGGCAACCTCTGGCCAGTGCAGAATGCCAGCGAGCCGTGGCCCACCCTCTCCCCCAGCCTCTGCCTCGTGCTCACAGGCAAGAGCACACGGGATGGCTTCGCCTCGTCTCCACTGGCCGCCCCCACAGCCCAGGGCAGGGAGGAGAGATGCCTTCTATTCTCTCCTCAGAAGATGCCACCCACACCCCACGCTGCTTCCGGGGAAAGCTGCCCCACGTCCCTGCAGGCGGGCAGTCCTTCCAGGGGCTGGACCACACTGCCTGCTGGCTGTCCCCTCATCTTCCTGCCCATCTCTCCTCTCCTCCCAGCCTCTCCTCCTGCTCCCAACCCCGGCAGGCAAGCAGCGGACAGGTGTGCGTTGGCCCTTGGCTAGAGCTGGGAATTCATTAAACCCACCAGGAGGGAGCTCTCTGCACCCTTCCCACGCCCTTCCCTTCTGTCCGTGGGAGGAGGGGGCTGCCAGGCAGGAAGGGCACAGGCCAGAGTTAGGGGGGGTGGGGGTGGGAAGGCATCCTAAGGCTGAGCAAGGACCTGCCCACACTCCACTCCGCCCCTCCAGGTGTATCTCCCACAGCTCTCCACTTCCGGCCCGGGCGGCAGGCGATTTCACACCTCCTCCCCTCTGCACGCCCTCTTCCTGGAATGCTCGCCCAGGCCTGGCCAGCCAGGTGAATTCCTATTCATCCTTCAAATGCAGACGGAGACATCCTCTCCTCTGTAGCTCCCTGACCCTTTGAGGCAAAGGCCCAGGAGGGGAGGGGCCAAATCTCACTCCTGTTTTTTGTGTGTGTGTGTGTGTGTGTTTTGTTTTTTTTGTTTGTGTTTTTTTTGCCAAATGCCACACTCGGTGCTGTGCTAGAGAGGGGCTTGCCTTTTAAACAGAAAGGAGAAGCGGGGAGAAGCCCCGGGTGCAGACCTGGGCAGATGTTAGTGAACGGGAGAGGGGAGCAAGGGGTGAAGACAGAGAAGGAGGTGCCCTTTGGAGAGAGGGGGGTAAAGGGGGGGCGGCTGCACCTGCAGAGGGGAGTTTGCAGCTCAGTGCCTCCCATAGGTGCCCACTTGTTATTTTAGGCCACCTCTTCTCCTCCCCCACCCCCACAGGCACCCTTCCCGGCCTCTGGATGCCTTCATTTTTAAATCTCCAACCGTAGATCATTTTTAATTGATTTTTAGAGAAAAGTGGAAGAAAAAGGGAAAGACAGAGAAATATCGATATGAGAGAAACATGTCAATGGGTTGCATCCTGCATGTGCCCTGACCAGGGCCCAGGCCGCGGAGAATCCTTCAACCCAAGTACGTGCCCTTGACCAGAATGGAACCTGGCATCCTTCAGTCCCCAGGCCGATGCTCTATCCCCTGAGCCAAACCGGCTAGGCTGGGCACCTTCTTTTTCACAAGACAAATTAGGACCGAATTGGTCCCTAAGTAGGGCTTGGGGGAACACAAGACAAACACCCCCCACACCCACTGACAGAAGCTCAGCACTTCACCTCCCTCCCCCAGTGTCAGCCAGTGCCAGGGGCCACAGGGCGGCCGGGCTGATGGATGGGTGGGGGACAGTACCTTTCAGCGACGGGGGGGTGTAGGCACAGGGGTTGGATCTCTTCGATTTGAGGTGGTGCCCCTCTCCGGAGGCTCTCTGCCCGGGAAAGTGCCAGGTTAAACAGGCTCACCCTTCCCTGCCCCCTCCCAGCATCCCATCCCCCTCATAGCAACCGGGCAGCTGGTCTAGCCTCTGCTGACGGGTCTGGGTGCCCCTCAGGTCCTGCCCCGGGCTGAGGGCACCCCACGGCTTTGGAGGGGCCTCCTTAGAGCTGTGGCCTGGCTCAGGGCGGGGACCCTAGGTCCTGCAGCCTCACCCCAGGCTGAGCAAACACCAGGGCCGAGGAGGATCTGCTACACACACCGGGCACCCGGCACTCCCGCCCGAGGCGCTGATTGAAATGCTGATGGATATGCTAATGTTCCTCCGGGTGGTACCCGGCCTCAGCGGGGAAGTCATCCCCGCCAGCCCACCCATCCCTCCTCCCAGCGGCCCCGGGGACTCACCTGGTGCGGGGAGGCCTCCTCCTCTGAGGAAGGCCATCCGGGAGCGCAGGGAGGAGGAACAGGGAGGAGGAAGGAGAGGGAAGAGAGAAAAGGAATCGGAATTACTCGCCCCAGAGGGCCAGGCCCGGGAGCGGGAAAGTGTGCCCTTTCCTTCCCGGTGTTGGGAGGTGCCTGTCAATAAATGAACCGGGGAGAGCTGGGCTCCCAGACTTTACCCACTCCCCACCCTCCTGCTCCATCGCCTCCTCCTGGACTTTGGCAAGGGCCCCGAGACGGCACCAGAGTTGGGGTGGGGCCGGCCAGGGAGGGAGGGGGGGGCCCACCTGGTGAGGAGTGCTCAGAGAGCCGGAACAGCATGGCAGGGGTGGGTCTCCGGCGCCGGATCTGAGGAGGTGAAGAAAGAGGTGGGGAGGAGGGAGGATGGGGCCCGACACCTGCAGGCCTCCCCCTGCACTCCCCGTCCTTCTCCCCCCCACCCCAATCAGCCGGGAACAAACTGTGCTTCGGAGTCCCCCGGGAACCTTTGCATCAAAGCCTGTCAGAGCTGACAGGAGCTCCATAGCTCACTCAACCCTCGCATTCCACTCAGGTGAAAACCCAAGGCTCAGAGAGGTTTAGCAACGTGCCCAAGGCCACACAGCACACAGCGAGGCAGAGGAAGAATGAGAGAAAAACCTGTCCCTGAGTCCCTCCCTTGCCCATCCCACTCCATGGCTACTCCACAGTGGGCATCTCCCTTTCTACCTGCCCTATAAGGCCCTTCCTCTCCCGTTTTTTTTAAAGACTTCGGGCCTGGGGAACCGAAGCTGGCGGTGGTGTGCCATGGGCCTTGGCACCACATGGCCCTGCCCACCTAAGGTCAGCTCAAGGGCTCCTGAGAAACTGGATCCAGCTGCAGAGGGAGGCTGAGCCAGGGCACTGCGGCACAGAGGCTCAGTGCAGGCCTGAGCTGCAGACCACAGGGGCCTGCGGGCGGGTATTTCTGGGAGCCTCTGTCTGGGCCCCTCTAGCAATCTCTCTCAGGCTGTGGAACTCTTGGTCCATCCCCATAAACAACAACAGCCCTAGCCTGTTTGGCTCAGTGGATAGAGCGTCGGCCTGCAGACTGAAGGGTCTCGGGTCCCCTTCTGGTCAAGGGCACATGCCCGGGGTTGTGGGCTTGATCCCCAGGGTGGGGCGTGCAGGAGGCAGCTGATCCACGGTTCTCTCCCATCATTGATGTTTCTCTCTCTCTCCCTCTCTGAAATCAAATATACTTTTTTTCAAAAGTTAAAAAGAAAAGAAGAAATCCAGTGAGATTGTCGACATCATAAACAACAGCAACAAAAACCACACACACAAACAAAACAGAAAACAAAATGAAGAGTCGCCTCCTCAGTATCTGAGCCATGCAGAATAAACAGTGAGGGCGTGGAGAGGAGGGGGCACAGAGCCCGCCCGGGCACTGCCCCCGCCCCAGCGTGGCAATCAGACCAACTGTCAGTTAATTAGGTCCCCTCCGAGCTCCAGGGAGATCCACAGAGAACCAGGTGAATGAAGCTGTAGCTGCCACCCCCCCTTGCCAAGCTCCCGCTCTGCCCTGCACACCCAGAGCTGCCAAGCCTGGGCCCCGCGGGAGCCATGGCCCCTGTCTCCCCCAAAACGGCGTGGCCCGCGCTCCCTGCTCCGTTAGGGCCCAGTGCGACTGAGCAATATGGACCAGGCTGCGGGGAGGGGGGCTCCTCTCCCTCCTGCCCCCCACCCCCGTCCCACCTTCCGAAGCCTCCAGCCTCCAGGGAGGCCCTCCCAGCCTCAGAGGTCCCTGTGGACAGGTCTGGCTCCTGGGATGAGGGGTCACCCCTCCCATGTGGTGGCTCCGTCCGGGTCCTGACAGCAGGAGGCCCAAGGACCCCCCGCCCCAAAGCAGACAGGATGGGACAGCGGGGCCGGGGGCTCCGCTCTAGGTCCGAGGCCAGGGGGCCAGGTTGGCCACTCTGACCGGGCCCGGGGGGCGGGCGGTGGCTGGTTGGGAGGACACTGTGCAGGGTCCGGGGCACAGTCCCCGGAGTTCTGGGGCGCGGGGTGGGGATGGGGCCCCCGGAAAGTTGCACGTGTCTCAGCCAACTTCAGCCCCGCCGGGCGGAGACGGCGCGGGACTCCCCGCGCCCCCGGCCCCCGGCCAGCGGACCCCGCGGCGCGGGGCGCAGGGGAGCCGGGGTGCGGGTGTGGGTGGGTGTATGTGGGGGGGTGCTGCCGGGTGGGGGCGCCCCTTACCATCTCCACCTGGCGGGGGTCCAGCTGGCCGGGGGGCGCGGGCACGGAGAACTGGATCTTCTTGCGGTCCTTGGGGTCCATGGCGGCAGGGGTCGGCGGGGCGGGGTGCGGAGTCCGCTGCTCCGGGCGGTGCGGGGGGTGGAGGAGGAGGAGGAGGAGGAGTGTGCGCTCCGGCCGAACCCCCGGCGAGGGGACCGGGAGGAGGGTCGCCGCCGCCCGCCCGCTCTCCGGCCCGGGCTCCCCGCGCCCCGGCTCCGCGCCTCCGCCCGGCTCCGGTGCCTCCGCCCGGCTCCGGTGCCGCGCCCCGCGCCCCGCGCTCCTCTGCCCTCGCTCCCGGAGCCGCCGGGTGCCTCTGCCGCCCCGCGCTGCCTCTACCTCCCTCTCCCCCCGAGTCTCCCCGCCCCGGCCTCCCTCTCCCCGCCTCTCCCCTCCCCTCCCCGCCCCCCGCGGTCCGCTCGGCGCTCACCTGGCACTGGCGCCGGGGCCGGGGGGCGGGCTCAGGGGGCCGCGGCCAATGAGCGCCGAGAAGCGAGTTCTCCCCGGGCCGGGGAGGGGTGGGGGGTAGGGGGAGGGGGGGGAGGGGGGTGTGACCAGGCCGGGGAGCAGGCTGGGGGCCCCCTGCCGTCTCCCCAGAACTTGAAGCTGCATTATTGATGGAGTCCAGCGGGGAGGATGAAGTGGGAGGCTGAGGGGGGAATTGGAGGGGGGGTGGGGGGGGTAGAGGTTCAGCGGGGACTCTGGCTTTAACCCCTACGTGGCCTGGGCACTTGGAGTTTTGTGGGGAGAGTGCCCCCAGCATGTCACGCTGGGAATGGGGGTGTCCTGGAAAGAGAGGCAGTGGGGGGGAGGGGTGCGTGGGAGGACACGTGTCAGTCATCCTGCAGGGAGTGAGTGTGTGAGTGCCTATAGCTGGGGAGTGTGTGTGTGTGTGTGTGTGTGTGTGTGGTGGGGGGTGCATGCTAGTCTGTAAGTGTGTCAGAGTGTCACGGATGCAGTGTGAGTGGCAGGGTGTGGGCGGGCTGTGAGTGTGTGAGGGAGGGTGTGGGTGAGGGGGAGGCTGTCAGAGGCTGTCAAGGTGATGAGCATGGGTGTGCCAGCTCACAGGGGGGCATGGATTCACAGCTCCAGCCCGGGCAGGGGAGGGATGGGGTGTGATCCTGTACAAGGTGCGGTGTCTTCACGTGTCTCCTGACTTTTCTCCCCAGACCGAATGGGAGGGAGGCAGAACCAGCCCAGGGGCGCAAAGCTGGGGGTGTTGGGGGGCTGCCTGTGGCAGTACACACATGCTATCACATGTGTGAGTTCTGTGCATTCTGGAACAGAGCTGAGGGGAGAGGGGTGTGCTCATTTCTGAGGTGTGAACCTCTCTCTCTCTCTCTCTCTTTCTCTCTTGATATTTGCGGGTTAGAGGGGCAAAGGGGAGGCCCCTGGCCCTGCAGGTGCACTGTCCCTGTGGATCTGTCCAGGCCCTGGGCGCCTGCAGGAGCCATGTTTCGCTCTGCAGGCCTGTGGGTGAGGGTCCGAATGCCTCTCTCTGGGCCCACCGGTGCGTGTGTAGAAGCGTACCTGGTGCGTGTCTGCCTGGGTGCTGTTTGTGTTGGCCGCACGCAGGTCCGCGTGTCAGCAGCCCTCCCCCCACCTCCAGCAACTTTTCCACTGAGCCCCATCTGCTGGTCCCAGCAGAGGCTGAGCCGGGGACAGGAGGCCTGAGGAGTCCTGGCATTGGGGTCAGGGGCATGATGTTTCCCAGAGTCAGTGTTCGCTCTGGGGGTGAGGGTGAGAGTAGCAGGAGGACAGAGCTTTTGCTCTCTGACCCGAAAGCTCTGGCTGCTCAGCTCCATACCCCTCAGCCCGGGCCTGGCTCGGGTCCGGCTGTGTTTGTTGACTTATATGCTTGTTGGGAAACAGCCGGATGCCAGGCTGCTGGCCCAGGGGTGTGGGCATCTCTAGCGGCCCCTGGCTTGGCCCAGACCCCCCTTCCAGATGGGGTGTGGCGGGGAGTGGCAAAGGCCAGTTTGGCAGCACCTTGCGAGGGTAAATAAGGAGGTTCTGAAAGTCAGAGGAACATGACCGGTCAGGCCAGACAGTAATCCGAGTGGCCGCTGGGCCGGCCGGGGAGGGTGAGGGGCTGGCGGCCTCCAGTGCTGGCGGGTGGGAGGGGCCTGAGGTGGGATAAAGGGGTCAGAGGGCAGCTGGCAGGCGATGAGAGGTCAGGGACAAGGGGGGTCACCTTGGAGCCCATGAGAGCTGAGATTGGGGACCACTCGGCTGCGGCTCGTTTGAGCCGGGAGGACTTGTTTATGGAGGCTCTGCCAATAGCCTCAAAGCTCTGAGAGGCCTACAGCAGGAAGAGGCCCCTGACCCAGGCTGGGCAGCTGGGAAGGGAGACTTCCCTCACAGCCCGGCCTGGGAGATGGAGTGTTTGGGATGGAGGGGAGGGTCTGCACCCTCTTTCTGGCACCCACAGCTCTGGCTGCCAAACCCTGGGGTTAAGAGGGGTCGGCAAGCCTAGCTGACAGAGGTACAAGCACAAGGGACAGACAGACAGGGAGGAGGAGGAAGGGAAGGAAGGATGACAGAGATAGGAGGAGAGAGAGAGGGAGAGAGGAAGGGGGAAGTAGAAAAAAGGTGAAAAGAGAGAGAAAACCCATGTGAGAGATGGAGAGACAAAGGGAGGAAGAGAAAGCATCACGACAGAGAGGCAGGAGACAGAGATGGAGAGAGAACAAAAATAGCTCAGCATTAAGATAATTGCAGCTCACAGCTCTGCCCTCCGCCAGGAATTAAATGAGGTTTTATTACTTTGATTTTTTCTCTCCTGGATCCTACGCGACTTCTCGAGAACTTGGGAAAAGTTTTTCAGGTGGGCGGTCAGGTGGTGGGGGCTGCGTGGGCGACAGAGGAAGGGAACAGGGCTTCTGGGAGCTGGGGGAGGCTTGGGGAGCGGCAGGGAGAGTGGGGAGGGGCTGGGAGGGGAAGGGAGGGGAGCCTGTGTCAGGCACATCCCGAGGGGCAGAGAAGCAAGGGGCCAGGGTGACCTCCATTCTCTTTGACTTAGAATTAATCATATGCAAATGAGATGTAAAAAGAATATGCACTGTTTGGGTATTATTCTTGAGTTATAATAGAAGCACAGTCGATTAGGCCCAAGGAACAAAATCAAGGCCTTGTTTGACTTAACTAATTGAACTTTGGATCTTCCTACTTGGACTGACAAAAAAGTCTTATCACAGGCTCTCTATTGATGTACAATAGGTGTAAGCACACTATTTTTTTTTAATATATTTTATTGATTTTTTTACAGAGAGGAAGGGAGATAGTTAGAAACATCGATAAGAGAGAAACATCAAACAGCTGCTTCCTGTATGCCCTGACCTGGGGATGTGCCTGCAACCAAGGTACATGCCCTTGATCAGAATCGAACCTGGGACCCTTCAGTCCACAGGCTGATGCTCTATCCACTGAGCCAAACCGGTTTGGGCAAAGCACACTATTTTATTTATTTATTTTTAAATATATTTTAAAGCACACTATTTTAAAAAAGATTTTTAAATTGATGTTTTAGAGAGACAGGAAGGGAGACGGAAAGAGAGAAACATGGAACCACAACCCCCTATCCGGAACCTACTGGGAATTGAACCAGCAACCTTTTGGTGCACAGGACGACGCCCAAACAACCCAGTCCCTTCAGCCAGGGCCTGAGCACACTATGATGAGCGCACAGTTTCTCTTCACATCACTGCCTGGTGCTGGCCACCGTGCCTGGCATAGGAGAGGGGCCTGGCACAGGAGAGGGGCTGCATTAACTGTCTCTGGAAGGTGAATGAGGGAGGGTGGTAAGAGGCCTTTGCCCTGTTTCTCGATGGGGAGAATGGACAATCAGGAACATTCTATTCCTTCCCCCAAGGGAACAGTCTCATGGACTGAATATAAACTGGGGAGCTGGCCCTAACCGGTTTGGCTCAGTGGATAGAGCGTCAGCCTGCAGACTGAAGGGTCCTAGGTTTGATTCCGGTCAAGCGCATGTACCTTGGTTGCGCACATCCCCAGTAGAGGGTGTGCAGGAGGCAGCTGGTCAATGATTCTCTCTCATCGATGATTCTAGCTCTCTATCCCTCTCTCTTCCTCTCTGTAAAAAGTCAATAAAATATATTAAAAAAAAGAAAGAACAGGACATTGTGAACATCATTCATTCATAAGGTCACTAGGAATCAAAGCTGAATCAATTTCACGAACACACACACACACACACACACACACACACACACACTCGCCCAGCCCAGTAAGGGCCCCAGGTAGGTCATCAAGAAAGTTCCAGCTTTAAGGATGCAGTCTGAGAATGGCCAGCAGGTGGCAGAGCCGGCTAGAGTTTGGGCTGACCTGCTGGCACTTTGAGACCGTAGCTAGGCATCACACCCATGACCTTGGCACCACTGAGTTGAACCCAGCTGGCTGGGTTGGCATGAGGCAGCTGGAAGGGATGCTCCTGGAAGCAAACTTAGAGAAGCTGGGGAGTACTAGCTGGGCGCACTGGGGCATCTTTCCCTGACCCTGGTGGTGGTGGTGGGCAATGGGGGGATGGTGGGGGAGGAGTGGACAGGGTACCCATTCAGCAGGGACAGTGGTGGCTCCAGGACAGGCAGGCAGTCATCGGAGACATCCACTCACACACTCATTCATTCATCCTTTTGCTCATTTAATAAATTCCCATTGGGTGCTTTAAACACACACACACACAACTTTGAGTTAGAATTTATATACAATAAAATGTACCAATCTTAAATATACATTTCTATGAGTTTTTGAAAAATTTATAGCATATAACCACAATCACAATTCAGATATAGAGCATTTTCATCACCCAAAAAACATTCTCTTTTGCCCCATGCAAATCAACCTCCCCTCTCCCCTCACCGGGTGTATCATTAGTCTTAGCACACTATTTTGAGACATATCCTTCCCACCATCTGTCTTTGCACCATCATCTGCCTGCCATAGTGCCCAGAATACAGTAGGCACTGCATGCTGTGGAGGGGATGGATTGAGAAATGAATGAATGGATGAATACGTAAGTCAAAGAC